ACTAGGGATTTCAAATTACTACCAAGTCACTTAGTAGTATGTTTGCATCTCTGAACACAAGTTAGTAATTTTATTTTCAGTCCAAACACCTATCTCACCATAAACTAAATTCCTTAGGCCGAGGATATATTTCATCGTATCAATTAATTCATGCGTATTGACATTTTCAAAGTATGACCAGTAAGCATCTCAAGAAAAGGTATTTCATTTGAGATGGTTGATAAAAAATTATTAGAACACTAGGACAGCTAAAAATCGTATGACTAGGAGTTACCAAAGAAAAGTGCTTTTAAGAGAATTCTTGTAAGCAAAATCTATCACACTTCAACTTAGCATTCTATTCTTTATCATTTATTTTAGTTAAATACCAACACAAATTTCATTTTCTTTCCGATCACTTTTATTTACACAACAATGGACAAAGGACTACTTCCATATACTTTCATGGCCCTGTTAACTAATACACTCACTTGTTATAATAGTTTGTGAGAGTGAGACCGCTCACACCAACTTTTCTGAGTAAAGCTCTTAGGGGTATTGTATTCGCCATAATTTATAGGAATCATAAAATAGTTGAAATCAGAAACTTATATGGATCTTTCCATCTCAGTTTATTGTTCTTTTGAACCTGGTTAATTCAAATAAGTTTCATTTTTCTGCTTAAAATTAGAACGTTAGGTTGGTTCCAGAATGAACAACATTGTTCACCTGAAGCAATTGTACCATAATGACTGATTGACCCAACCAGCTTTTGCGACTAGACCTCTATTTTTGGTTATCAAGTTAGTGCTGGATTAACTGTTTAATAATGATCATTTTGATGTCGGTTGTCTCAAACGTTTATTTATTACAGAAAGTTATTGTTATTTCTTACCCCTTTACGTGATCAACTCCCAATTTCCATAGGGTTTACCCTGTGTACATCTGTTAATTTACGGTAAAAAGTGATGCTGACTTACGTTCAATGATAATGCATAACCAGCTTTAAGTACGTGAGTCAATTGATTCACTTCATACAAATACAGGGAACCTACTAGCATATTTTGTTCCTACAACCGCTTCGATGAGTATTTGTAATCACGACTCTCTATGATCAGTGAAATTAATTGTTTCGTATCATGATATTTAACGGCCATTTAATGTTTCTACGAGACTTCTACCACTAAAATGCCAACGATACAATTACAGTTTTAACTAATGTATCTTATACTGTAGATCATATCACATTTCTCTCCTCTGAGATTTTTCTCTTGTATAATGAATTTTGGGTGAATTCTAAAGGGAAATATAGACCTACAAATAACTTCCTAAACATTTTTATACGATGAAATGTTTCATGGTTACACTTTGTTGACTGTATATGTAGTCATTCAACGAAATATTGAAGCCACACCTACTAGTTTCGACATTTGCACAGAATTATAGATGTTATAAAATAGCTATGATTAAGAACTAATACTCGGGGAATTTTAGAAAGACTAAGTATCATTGGTCAAGCAGTCCCATTTACGTTGAGAAAACTCGATAAAGCGTACATTTCAGTTTTTCAGACAATTTGTTAACAAGATCTTTTACTCTACTCTATTTCTTTCGTGTTCAATTTTCCTAAAATCTTCCATTTATACACCATAAACACTCATTATTGGAACATGTAGACGTAAAACAATTTCTCTGTTCTATGTTGATTTGTTCACATAACTTATGTACAATGGTATTACACTAATTTATAGGCTGTCCGTTAGATTATGTGGTAAGGAATATCAATATCTATGCGTCAGTCTGCTGTAAGCTGGATATATACACCTATGTATGTTATTTTAGAAAATCAACTAGCGACCGTAATATTACTAATGAGGGGCAGGTTCATGAGAATGACTTCAATACGTTTTAGTGAAAATAGTAAAAAACCAAAACAACAATCTTGACTACTGACTAATTAAAAGTAGGCATGATCGATTATCGATAAGTTATGCGACTTCCGGGTTATGCATGGTAGATGCTTATCTCTTAGATAACTAGAGGTTGAGATAATTCAAATGTTGCTTTCAAAAATAGATACTGAGGGAGATTATAAAATTCTAAGGCATTTAGATGAACTAAGATGGAACAGTTTCGTTCATTGTGTAATCTGTAAAGGGACACGATAATTTGCCTGAATGTTTAAAAAATATCAATGTAAAAACAGAATTCCAACTATGAATATTGCATGCACATACTTATAATAACAATAATCGATAATACAATTTAGTTACGGCAAGCCTTTATATTTAGCAGGATTGACTGAAGCTATCCACATAGTTTAACACTCCTACTGATCAGCATGAGTTATGAACGGTGAACAATTCCTGGTTGGAATATCTGTAGAATTTATTAACCAATGTTAGAGAAATTAGGTGTGACAGTTCCAAACCTACAGCAGCGTAATAAGCCGTCTCTTCATCTAGAACAATGCATAATTCACACATTACATTCCGTTTGTAACTATTTCTTTTGATTCCTTGATACCTCTGATATTGTAATGAATGAGTACAAAGGTGGGGAAAATTAGTTTATTTTAATACAAAATTACAGAGTTATTTGGTAAAATCTGAAAAACAATATGTTTAATACTTTCTTTGTAATTCCTCCATCAATTGTCTCAAACTCCATTGTTTCATCTCTATAACAATTACTCTCTGTCCCCGCCCTCTTCGATTAGATCATCTCAACCTTCTGTTACAAGACATTCCACTTCTGATTGTTGTCATATACTACTTATGTCGACATAAGTAGCATACACCACACAATCACTAGTTTTCTTTCTGTATTGACATAACATTTGGGAAATAGAACTGAGACACTCTTGTTACGTAAGACACTTCTTCGTTAGTCGAAACAACACATTTATTTCATTTAATATGTAACGAGCAACCAGGATTGTTTCAAACAGATAGAACGTCAGAAACTCAACGTATAAGTTGAATTCATACCAATTTACAAAAACACACTGAGTAAATCGATCAAATTGAGAATATATTAAAGTAAACAACATCATGTATCGAAAAAAAATCAGTGCCGAGGAATAAAGTATCCAAGTATCGTAAAGAGTGATTGAATATGTTTTGGGTGGAAATAGAGGTCTTTGAAGGTCATCAGTCAGTCAGTCAGCTACAACGTAGGACCAGGCACATATATGCATCGGTCCAAGTTGCCATACCTCGTTAGCACAACACGATCAACACCGGATTCATAGAAGTAATTAATTTAGTGGTGGTAGTATATCAAGAAAGATTTCGTCAGACACCAACCCTAATGGGTTGGTGTTTTTAGGATTGAATGACCCATAAGATGTTTGGTTAATATGTAAAATGTTTGCAGGTCAAATTAATATTTTTCATAGAGGATACAATACACCAGCAAGGTAAGGAAAAGAGAATGATGATTAGTTTTTAAAAAACAAAGAACTATTTAGTAACATGAAAGAGCAACCCGTCCAACTTTTGTTCCATTCAAATAACACTATCTACTGTTTACAGAAGGGTGGTTTGAAAACAAGATAATGAAGCGAACTGCTGAATTGGGTTAGTAGCGCTATATTTCATGGGTCAGGTCGAAGTGATCAAGAAAGCAAGTGGTTATTCCATCTGTTAGGGACTAAACTAGTCTAATAACATGGAGAAGGAAATAAGTGAAATTTTAAGTCGACATTACTTTGGGTTTCACATACTTTGGCCGAAATTCCCAGATATCGAACATAACTGAAAGTAATCAAGGTAATTTAAACTAAGCCAAAATATTCAACTGAGTTGTGGCGCATTTGAATAGTGCAGTGAGAAAACTAGACAAAGTGAAATAATAAGTTATAAGACAAATCAAACAGCCAAAACACAGGATGAATGAGACATATCAAGTGAAGAACAAAATAAGCACAGAACATTATGATTATAAACCTTGATTAGAAATCTTCACAAATTTTTAAAAAATAAACATAGGATTCACACCTAAAAACATTTTCCGGTTTAAATTTAATCACCAATAAATCCAAAAGTCGGAATATACACTGAAATTTCTGAAGAAGCGGTCTCTACACCTTAGAATGCATAGTGCTGGTAAACTTGAACCATACATACAAACATACATTGTTAACTTTATACCCAATTCTCAATTTATTTGAAACTATCAAGTCCTACCTTGGCATTGATACCTATAAAGTGAGTATATTGCCAATGCATAGATCAGCAGCCAAACACAAGTCAATAGGAATGGAAACGATAGTTATACAAATCTGAGACTGAAACTAAACAAAGTGTCTGACCCAAGCCCCTTCAGGAAAATCACTAAGTCAAAAGAATTAATAAGTATACTTGTAAATAAGGGGTAAACATCGACAATAGACATTGTTTCATCAGCTTTCATATGATTAGCAGCATGTTGAATCCACTTGAAATTTTTGAGTTCATGTATCACTTCCCTGTCATTGAGTTTTATGATCCTGGCAAGATTATGAGTTAATTTGTATAGTCACTTAACGCTCTTATTAGGTGTGTTTGAGAAACTCAGTCTTCCCAGATGTAACTTCAGCTTTATGATGAACAGAAAGATTGATTTACTTTAAACTGTAATCGAAGAACTCATTTGTTCATTAAAATTTAATAACAATGACATACATCTTTGCATGGCAGTGCTTGGAAACATTTTACATCAAATGACTCTCATCCTCACTACAAACCAAGCTAATATTTGAACACGACTAATCACGCATTTAGTATGAAGGAGTTTTCGATCTTATTTGTCACTGGTAATTTGAATAGTTTCAAGTGAAAGTTGGGGGAGATTCCCGGGGGCACATGTTGACAGTATTTAATTCCAACCATTTGGACTTTAACAAACGATTTTCAAACAATCGGTGAACAACTGTTTGAAACTACCCATTCAAAATCAAACGGAATTTTCCATAAAACCGGAAGCCATTTTTCGAAATGCTTTACAATGAAGACAAGTACATGGATAAACATTCATAATCAAGAGTTGTTTTCGAACCTCGGAAGACCAAACTGTTCAGGTTTAAAATCAGACATACAATTTAATCTAGTGATACGTGATATGTCAATGGATGAAATTGATTTTGGAAAATTCCCAGGTGGTTCTCGTGGATCAGGAATCCATACAACGCGCATCCCAGCTGACAGAGCGGCTTCAACACCATTTGGAGAGTCTTCAAACACTAAAACGTTATCAGAGGAATCTGGAGGAACTTTAAATCTGTTGGCGGTAGTTAGAAATATATCCGGCATAGGTTTACCATGCTTAATCTAAAATTAATGTAAATTAAAAATGTGAGAAACAGTTTGGGAATCACAATGACAAGACGTTTTAAAGCTACAGAAAATGTTAGAATTGTGAACCCGATATCAAAGGTTTTGCTGAGTATGAAATTTTTTTTTAAAAATCCCAACGTAATAACTATATACAAGTACATGTTATTTTTATTATTTAAACACATAAATATTGGTACAAGGAAGCACCAGATAAATATGCGCCTCACAAATCTCATTCGATTTGTGTGAGGACCGTGATACTGCCCAGGTGCCCAGACTGAAGCAGGTGGTTTTCTTAGGGGGCCACACCCGGAGCCTTTGACCTGAATATCTGATTCACAAGGCAGTGGAGCATCGTGAGGAGATGCAGTCCCATCGTAGCCGTTGACCAACAATAGGTTCATTCGCCATTCGTTCCATCAGGATACTGGAGCCCATGTGCACCATTGGTTTGGAATCAGGGTTTTCCAACTCCCCTAGGTGAACTTTCCATGTCCACCAACCCGGTTAAAGCGCCAGACATTCGCTTTTCGTCCTCTCACTTTCGTAAACAACACCCCCGCCACGAGAAGGCAGTGAGTAGGACTTCCCTGGCAGAGGCTATATATTCGCTGGCCATTTGATAGCATTTCGAGAGTGAGAGATGACTCTTCCCACTCTCGGCCGTACCAGGGCATTTGGGGGCAAGTACATGTGAGATACTGTAAAACATTCAGAGGCTGAAAACGATATCACAAGTGATTCTAAACTAATGTTTGATGTCGAACTTATCAACCCGACCGTTGCTGCTACCTTGACGTGGTGGTCGGGCTTGCCTATCGTGATGAAGCAATCGAGCTATGCTGGCTGGAACAATCGTTCCTCGAGGTCCTACCATGCCAGACAGATCGGTTGAAGAGCGGTAAACCCAAGAACAGCAAACCCAAGGTCCGAAGGCGAAGTCGTACTGTTGACTGTACAGAGGTGTGACAGCAGTAAGGTGTTTCCTTCAAACAACCAGCATGACAGCGATGCTGCCTTCCCACAAGGAGGGGTGGGGTTAGAAAAGGTCGACCCTAAAAATGCACACCTCGCCTTATCCCACGGATATCCGTCTCCGGCGCTAAGGTTTTTTTTGAAGAACGGAGCTAACACAAAAACTACCCACAAAAAGGTCGTGTATGACCGACCTCAAGCAGTTGTCCCTTGGGCACTGCGGTCACGCTCTCAGGTCATTAAGACCACTTCTAACCCAATTTCCTTTTCAGGTACCCCCAGGAGGACCCTTCCACGGTGTGGGCAACCGGGAAGTGATAACTGCCCTCATACCTCCAACAGCACTCAAAACCACTGTATTCATTATCAATCTCCTTCTTCAATTCCTACTATTCCTTCTACCTTGACTTTCAACACTAAACTTTCTCTCTCGGTTTCCTCCTCAAGTGTCACCATGGCCAACGATTCTAGTGCGCGAAACGCTGTCCCAGGTCTACTTAAACCTCGCTCCAAACTACACATTGGAGCCTTCAACGTACGTACCCTATGCCAAATCGGTCAACAGGCCTTTTTAGCTAAAACCCTAGAATCTCGTATCATTGACGTATGCTGTGTCTCCGAAACACGCATACAGGATCCCAGTGTGGTCATTCACTTGACCTCAACTCGCCAAAATGGATAGCCAACGAAATACACCCTCCGTGTATCTGGCAACCCGTTGGCTAGTTCTCGCGGACTTGCAGGTGTAGGCATAGCACTAAGTACAAGGGCAGAACAGGCACTACTAGAATGGATCCCCGTTAACAGTCGCCTGTGTGCTGTCCGGCTAAATGGCTCCGTAAGAACTCGGAAGGACAGGGACACACGTCGTTGCCTTTTCGTCGTTTCTGCCTACGCTCCCACTGACTGCAGCCATGATGAAGTAAAAGATGACTTTTACAGAAAGCTCTCTGAGCTTCTTCAGAAAGCTAAGCGCTCAGACATAGTAGTCGTAGCGGGTGACTTTAATGCCCAGGTAGGCAGCTTAAATCAAACAGAAAGACATTTAGGTGGGTGTTTTAGTATTCCGGCTCAACGAACCGATAATGGTGATCGTCTGTTGCAACTATGCTCAGACAATCGTTTATTTCTAGCAAGCACTAATTTTAAGCATAAGGAGAGACATCGTCTAGCATGGCGACCACCTGCACCAAACCAACGATGGACTCAAATAGACCATATTGTCATCAGTCATCGTTGGAGAGGCTCAATAGAAGATTGTCGCTCGTATTGGAATACTTTTTTAGACTCTGATCACGCTTTAATACGAGCGCGCATTTGTCTGCGCCTCAATGGACGCAGGAAAAGTACACTAAGAAGACCCATTAGGATTGAACTGGAGGACGAGAAAGCCAAATGCGAATTCCAGAAACAACTGAGTTCACATCTAGGCAGTTCTGTAAACAAGACTGACCCAGATACTGCTTGGAAAGACATACGAACAGCTGTGGAAACAGCAGTAACATCTATTAGTCATTTAAACCATAGGGCTCCAACAAACCAATGGATTTCTTCTAAGTCTATTTCACTGATGGATTCGCGTAAACTCATCCCATCAGGCTCTGAACACGACGAAGAGCGTAAAGAAATTAGATCTAGGTTAACTAAAAGTCTAAGGAACGATCGTGAGCAGTGGTGGGCAACGAAAGCAAAAGAGATGGAAAAGGCAGCGGCTGTAGGCAACACCAGGCAACTATTCAGACTAATAAAAGAAACCGGAATTAAGAAGTCAAGTGTAAGTGAGACAATCTCGGAAAAGGACGGAACCCTTATCTGCTCTCAACCCAAACGTTTAGAACGATGGGCGGAACACTTTAAGGAGCAGTTTAGCTGGCCTTTAGCCACTGCACAACTACCCACTATTCCCAGAAAACCTGAATGGAACATTGAAGTAGGCCCCCCGACCCTACTTGAAGTTCAAAAAGCTATAAGTAATCTGAAACGAGGAATAGCAGCTGGTCCTGATGGATTGGTTCCAGAGGTCTTTAAATATAGTGGTCCAATTTTAGCGATTAGGTTGACTAATATTCTGGCTAAAATATGGGAGACGGATGTAATCCCTTCCGACTGGTCACAATCACTGATTGTCCCAATATATAAAAAGGGGTTAAAATCATCCTGCGATAACCATAGAGGGATTAGTCTGACTAACATAGCATCTAAAATACTAGCCTCAATAATTATCAGGCGCCTAACTAAGACTCATGAACTGCAAACACGAGAAAATCAGGCTGGCTTCAGACCTGGTCGTGGCTGTATCGACCACATATTCACCATTCGTCAAGTTTTAGAGCACAGACATGCTTATCGGCGTCCGACAATGATAGTTTTTCTTGACTTGAAAGCAGCATCTGACTCTGTAGACCAAGAGGTTCTGTGGCAGTGTCTGTCATTGAAAGGTGTACCTGAGAAGTACATAAACCTTGTGAAGGCTCTTTACTCGAACACTACCAGTCGAGTGAGAGCTTATGGCGAACTGTCATATGATTTTACAACCTCAAGTGGTGTCCGACAAGGCTGTCCACTATCCCCATTTTTGTTTAACTTCATTATAGACCTGTTGCTGGAAATAACACTCTCGTCGACTGAATTTTCAGGAATTGATCTTCTACCAGGGGGACCACTAAGCGACTTAGAATACGCAGATGACATAGTCCTGTTTGGTGAAGACGATGGCAAAATGCAGAGTCTTCTGTTGGAACTCAGTAATAATGCCAGGATGTTTGGGATACGTTTCTCCCCATTCAAATGTAAATTGATACTCCAGGACTGGCCTGCGTCAACATCTGAACTAAGGATAGGGAGTGAAGTAGTCGAACGCGTGGACAACTTCACTTATCTTGGAAGTCTGATCAGCCCTAATGGCTTGGTGTCTGACGAAATCTCAGCACGGATTCAAAAAGCTCGTTTGGCTTTTGCCAACTTACGTCACCTATGGCGAAGACGAGATATCCGTCTATCAATTAAGAGACGAGTATACTGTGCAGCAATTCGTCCTGTTCTACTTTACGGCTGCGAAGCATGGCCATTAAGAGTAGAAGATACACGTAGGTTACTAGTATTTGACCACAGATGTCTTAGAAATATTGCTCGCATCTGCTGGGATAACCGGGTAAGTAATAGTGAGGTTAGACGCAGGGTATTAGGGAACGATGGTAAATCAGTTGATGAGGTGATGAATCTTCATCGACTGAGATGGTTGGGCCACGTGTTACGTATGCCTGAACATCGGTTATCAGGACGAGCAATGTTGACTAGTGTTGGGGATGGTTGGAAGAGAGTTAGGGGCGGCCAAACCAAAACATGGCATCAGTGTTTGATGTCACTAACTTCTAGTCTGAGCCATGTTGGTAGATGCAGACTACTTGGTTGGGGTCCGCGTGACTATCGTAACCAATAGTTGGGGACTCTAGGTGACATGGCTCAGAATCGATCACAATGGCGAAGGTGTATACACTCTTTATCTTCCCTTAAACCTTGAGACTAAAATTGCTTCATATCTCTCTTCCTTCCTGCACTATATCCTTGTATACAACCTTTCTTGATATACTACCACCACTAAATTAATTACTTCTATGAATCTGGTGTTCGTCTTGTTGTACTAACGACGTATGGCAACTTGGACCGATGCATATATGTGCCTGGTCCTACGTTGTAGCTGACTGACTGACTGACGAACTTATCAAGATCAATTTATTTCCCTTACAATATATAAAAATATGACGTGATTAGATAATTTAGCAACTATTTTGGAGCTGACATTGGGGCTTTCGGAGTAGGATGCCTGAGAGTACACGAACAGCAAGTTCATAGGCTCAGAACCGATTGCAAACCACTTATCGGTAGATCAACGAGTTTTTGTTGATGAGTACGAATTAATTCTGAAGTAACTTTTGGAAATTCATACTTGATAAATTACCACAGATAACAAAAGTAGGCTTTTATTGATTCTATGTTAATGAGCCTCGAATTTTTACTCAGTTTTCAGTGCTACTTCACCCTGATAATGTCAAAATATTACGAGAAATTGGAATGACGATGCACGAGAAATCTAGGTGAATCCTGACATCTTGTTAAGCTGGTCTAAGACATGGCCAACACATTACTGTAACAGTGTCTCTATGCATATAGGATAAAGGGCGTTAATAAAAGAATCGGAAAGCATTTGTCATCAATTCTTATTTACAATGATGACTTGGAGACTACTGTCATTTGGTTATTGTTGCAGAGCAGTAGGCCACTGATGACTCACAAAGTTAGACTAAATAGGTTCACTAAGCGTCAGAGAGGCAATGTTATCAAATTAAGAAATGAACTATTAAATGACTAAGAAATATATGCATCCCTTATTATTTTTCCAACCAGGTCATTACAACATAAGACACGATAGAAGAGTTCAGAGCTATGAATGAAGAGTATAGTCGTGATGTGTAGATCTTCCCATTGTGTTATTAAATTGACTCCAAGAATTTGCCGTTGAAGGGAGTGGTGCCTGCTCCATCGATATACTCACTTGAAAGACTAAACACATACACAAGGATACCACGAAAGGAGTAACACAAATTCTTATCTCAGAGGGAATTTCTGAGAAATTTATACGTATTCAAGAAGTTTGGCTCGGTAAACTAGAAACGGATACAAGCTTCGAAGCTTTCTGACACTGCTACGTATAACATAAGTAAAAAGCAAGGGGGATGGAACAGGAAAAAGATAAGAAACTAAAGCAGGAATGGATGAGTTTAACTACATAATCGTTACTACCCTGGTATATCACATTTGTACTAGTCGTTTATAGGGCAAAACGCAAAGCGAAGCCGTTGCCTATTGGCCGAAAATTAAGTTATTAGATCGTAGTCACAACATTCTGGAAAATTAAACGGGCACATCACATTTCTGTTTGGTCACAAACTTACAGTAGGATCGTCACCCGAGCAAACAGAATGAGAGACTTTGGTCATTATATCCCGATGGTTTTTCATTTTCTGATCAAGTTCATAACTGCAACAACCAGTAGCCAGGGCCATAGGAATATTATGTGAAGCAAGATGAAAAATAAGTTCCTCTGCACCTGGTAAACATTGAACACTCTCCCATCTTTCTGGAGTAATGTACTCCGACTGCTTTTGAATAAATTCATCAGCACTTAGTGGCAAATTATAGTGTTTTAGAAGTATTTCACCGGCTTCGTGAGGTTTTCTTCCCATCATTAGCTTCTTTATGTTATAATCGAATTGCAAATTATATCCACTGAGAAAATTTGATGTGAACTCAGTGTATATAGATTCTGTATCCAAAATAAGACCATCGACGTCAAATATAACGTGAGTGACCTTAGTCATATCACATCCAAGGTCAAGGGTTTAGTAAGTGTACCACGTCTAAAATACTACATCCCCAACACAAGGTTGAACGTGTTATCGTGAAGTTCAAATGGTTCAAATGGTTATGAAGCTTTCGCTTAATAGGATTCCGTTTCTAGTAGCAGTGGATCGCCAATACCTCCAGGCAGGAAACTAGATATATTGACGATAATAGGAAAAAAAGAAATTAGTAAATCATAATAAGATGTTATTCTTAGTCCTTAAGAATAGTTCAAGTTTCCGCTTAAAGGACTCCTGGGAAGTCACCTGGACTAACTCAGTCGGCAGCGAATTACAGCATTTGACAACTCTTAAGGAGTAGAAGTTGTGTTTACAGTTCGTTCTGCTATGTTGGGTCTCCAGTTTCTGGGTGTTACCCCTTTGGTTTGTATTGGGACTAAGCTTAGTTGGGTGTTTAAGCGGATGACCAGAAGTGTTAAGGATACTGTAAGTGATAAAAAGGCCACCTCTGAGACTCCCGTACTCTAATGGGTAAAGGTTAAGTGATTGGAGGCGCTCCTCATAAGGTTTGAATTCCAGTCCCCGAACTGATTTCGCGGCTCGCCGTTGGATACGCTCCAGAGAGTCCTTATCCTTTTGGTGTGAGAGAAGAAATACTATGTTTTCTTGCTCTAAATAGGGATGAATAAAACTGTTGAAGATTATGTGGAAAGTTCTTCCGTCATACTGGCCAAAAATGCGCCTCAGTGTTACTAGTGCAGGGTTTGCTTGAAAGGCATTTTTGTTACAGTTATTGTAAGACTTCAAACCATAGGGTACCAACACTCCTAAATCTTTTTCGACCTGGTATACTTCTAGAGAGGGGTTTCTGAAGTTGTAAATGTAGTCTGCAATATGTCGCAGATGGAATACTTTACACTTTGACGTGTTAAAAGTTTCTGTTGGTCTGCTCTAACTTTGAAGTCGAGTTAGATCCTCCTGAAGTGCCAATATATCCTCTTGATTGTGTATCTATCTCCAAAGTTCCACATTATCAGTAAAAAGTAATAAGTCAGACGATACCTGATGAGGAAGATCGTTTACATAAACCCAGAAGAGAAGAGGTTCTAGTAATGAACCCTGGGAGACCCCACTAGGACATTCCATAGCCTGAGAGAAAGTGAGTCAGTCAATCAAAGGTGGTTTAATGTCCAATCTTTTGAGCTTATTGATGAGATATATATGGTCGACCCAATCAAAAGCCTTTGAGAAATCAAGGCAAATGATGTCAACCTTCCCCTTGCTTGTCCATCTGTCCACCGCAGTCAGCAGGTTGATTATACAAGAGTGTCCCTTCCTGAAACCATGCTGTTGGTGTGTAAAGAACTTTAAGTAGTCGTGTGTACCGTCGTATATCAGGGACCCCATAATTTTTGAAGGTATAGAGAGAGAAACAGCCGGCAGGTAACTTGGAGGTTCGCTGCGTCAACCTCCTTTGAAAATTGGTGTGATGTGAGCCAGCTTCCAAATTTCCGGTAGTTTGCCTCGGCTTAGCGAGTGTGAGAGCATTACACTAAGCGGTGTTCCCAGGATTGAAGCTGCTTCCCTCAGTAAAGCAGGATGAACCATATCCGGACCAGGAGAAGCGTCTTTTCTTAGGTGCTGCAGTTTCTGGAACACCAAGTCAGCGTTCAGGTTCACTTCGGGATTGCCTTATGAAGTTGCAGATGAAGCTTTCATCAGTATATTTGATGTGGGTCGGTTGAAATATCCGAGATTATTGTTCGGCCGAGAGGTTAGCGACATCACCATCGTTATGACTCGGGCCATTAGGACTTAGCAGTTGGGAAACTCCAGTTTCGGCTTGTCGAGGAGAAGCTGCATAAAGAAATAAGCTTTTCGACTGGGAGACAAATTTATCAATAAGTTTCCAATGGTTCAGATGGTTATGGTTGGAATAGAAGCTTTCGCTTAACGGGCCTCCGTATCTAGTATCAGTGGATCATCGATGCCCCAGGTAAGAAACAAGGTAAATTTGACGATAAAAGAGAGGAGAAAACATCGTAAATTATAGCGAGATACTGTCCTTAGTCCTCAATAATATGCCAAGTTCTCTCTTAAAAAAACTCCTAGGAATTCGCTAACACTAGTTCGGTCGGAAACAAACTCCAAGCATTTGACTACTCTTAAGGAGTAGAAAATGTGTCTACAGTCCGTTCTAGATTGAGAGGGGCTGAAGAATAGGGTTATCTTAGTCCGTAAAACTTTCCAAATGTTCCGAGATGAGCTGAAACTCTATTTTCAGTTCCATACTTACGATGGTGAACGGTTCGATGAGCAGTTCTGTAATTAGATAGCAATTAACTGGTTTTAGATTTGAGGATGTCCCCTTAAATTATCTCGAAAATAATGATAACGAGGACGTTTCCGATTTGAAGTTATCATCAATTACTTATGGACTGTGGTTAGGTTTCCTTAAGTCTATCTGTACACAGAAGAGAATTTTTATTTTCGATTGCCTCCAGTAAGATGGGAGCCTTGAAACTGCAGAAGTATTTTCACTTAAGTTTCTTTGAAACTATACCAACACCTACCTCTTTTTAAGACAGACTTCTTTGAAATATGTAGAAAAGTTTAGGGACTAGCCTAAGCATGTCTTTTGCCGTAAACAGAGTTTAAAGAGCTAATTAAATTGACCAGTTTTCATGATAAGGGTAAAATACTGAAATGTACTTGACCACTGCTGACGATGAGAGTAGAGCCACTCTATCACACCTGTGTGAAATGTACCTGTGATAGGAAACATTGCCATGCTTTTAGAAAGAGGATATACATGCCTCAGGTATTCATGGCTTGATAACGCCTTGTCCGTAACACTTCTTATAATCAAGGTTCCGAAATTCAATCATACTAGAAGTCAGGGGTGAATGAATTCGAAGGCATATTTAAAGGATGGTCGGGAAGTATATGATCTAAGCTGACTGGTTGTCATCAGGGCTGTGTTGCACGACGTACCCGATGGTGATCTGGTAAGTTTGAGTGTTCCACCGTCTCCAGCTAGGGCGTATCTAGTAATACTAATGAGGTAAGCACCCATGTCGAAGACTGGCAGATCTTTATTTTAGGTATCTACTAAGCGATACAGCTTACTTCCCCTTCTACTGCGGTAGTGATGAACCTAAGAAATAATCGGCTAGAAGACTAAGCGCAGCGAGCTTGCTGATAGCAAATACTCTCCTGATAGCTCACTGTGATCAGCAGTATCTGATTGGCTTTCGTTATCATACGAAACCACGCAGTACAACATAGTGACGAGTGATGTGGAACGAATATTCCGATTCATCGTATTATTTGTGATCTTCCCAATAACTCAAGAAGAAAGAATGAAAGTGTATGTGTATATCGAAAAACAGTCGTACTTGCGAAAGCAAGAGAAACGTGCGAAAAATCCTTTTCCATGAAACAGTGGAAAAAATTCGACGACAGTTCCTATTTTGGTTCTTTTAAATAATAATGTATACGCACATGTAGGCATGTAACAATGTCAGTTTCGTATTTGCATGGACTAATGATTCTTTTGTAGTGGATTGCCTGCTGGTTACGCATTTCAAATACAACACGTCCGTTTATGCTTGTCTAGTCCTACGTGCTGTATATTGCAGTATTTCGTGAATCCTTAGTTAGCACATTGATCCCAATACTTGTAATTATCATAGCAACTAAATGGCTGCAGGACACGAAAAACGCAATGAAACGGAAACTTACAAAATGGCCCACGTGCAATTATCGTTTAAGTGTTCTGTAAACCTTACAGTTCTTCTACAGCTCGTCGTTTTGGGCTAATCATCGTAGAGTTGCTTTACTCGATTGTTTGATGAGAAAGTCAAAATGGAGCCCCCTTCTAAGCACACAGCTTTTATATAGTCTATGCTGTTGTCATTTTTAGTTTCGTTCTTATTGGTGATATTGTACTAGGGTTCTAGATGGAGGACTTTTTATGGTCCTTCTTATAGAGGTTCCAGGGGTTAGTGGGATAAACAGGATTACACACGTAAAGAAATAAGACTATCCACTTGGATCTTGTAAGGGTTTTACCAAAGCAAGATGGAAATGGTTGAAAGGAGTCAGGAATTGCGTTGGGACCCAAGAGACACTTGTTGTGTCTAATAGCCTTAGATTTCTCTCAGTTTACACCTTTATTCATACCAGGCCAACCAAATCATGCTGCAATAAGCTTGGTGGTTGGTCGAACACCTAGATGCGCAAGTTGATGCAACATTTTAAAACGTTGCATCGATAATGTTTCCATGCTCCTGGATAACCCACATCGTAAATTTTACTCTCCTGTTCTCATATGTTTGAGTTGCATTGTCTTGGCTGACAAAAGTAACTCGTGCTGGTGATGTGCCCTGTTTTTGAATCTAAGGCTGTTTAACAGGGGTGATACCGTGAAAACTGTTTGGGGAAATTATGCGACACAAAGCGTCTTCAAATACATTGTTTGCACCAGAAATATGTTGAATATCTGAAGCAAACTGTGAGATGTAGTTTGGTTGTTATAACTTTCGAGAGGATTGCATGTCTGAAAACGGGACTGAGGGAACGGTAAGAAGTTTATGTTCGGTAGTGGAATATTAAAAGCACTATATTTCACGATACATAGCTAGGAGTTCGCTGCCGAAATAGTTATACTTTGATTCAGTGTCTCGCAACAGTATCACATAGGCTGCTAGGTTTCACCTACCGACTATTGTATGACTCAGCCGATTACCGAGCCGGATGTATCAACAGTGATGATAATAAGTGCCATGATGTCTTGGTGTGCGAATATAAGGATTTGCATGTTTCTGTGAAACACCTAACTGTAGTAATGCCCGTAGTAATGCAGGGATCTTTTCGCTCTGAAATACGAGAATGTGAAAATCCATAGGTGCAATTTTTTCTCACCGTTTTTCTCACCGCTCGTTGATTTTCGCTTTGGTGAGTTGTCTTTTAATAATATCAATAGAGCTGAAGACTTATTTACTTACTTACGCCTGTTACCCACAATGGAGCATAGGCCGCCGACCAGCATTCTCCAACCCACTCTATCCTGGGCCTTCTTTAACCAGTTTTTTCCAATTTTCGTTCATTTTTCTCATCTCTGTCTCTGTTCCTTGGCGTAGTGTTTTTTTGGTCTTCCTCTTCTTCCTTGGCATTTAGGATTCCATGTGAGAGCTTGCCTTGTGACGCGGTTGGGTGCTTTCCTCAATGTGTGTCCTATCGACTTCCAGCACTTCTTCCTGATTTATTCCTTCACTGGAATACTCTCTCGTACAGTCGGTTGTTGCTGATAGTGTCTGACTAACGGATCCAAAGTATTTTGCGTAGACAGCTGTTAATAAACGTACATATATTCTACATTAACTCAGTTTATATGAATTTTTAACAGTAGGTTTTTTACTCGTTGGAAACCAGAAAAGATTTTAGGGGTAGCTTGTCGGAACTTTTTAGGAATCCATCATTTGTCTTATTCTGTAGAGCTTAGGTATACCGACTCCTGCTTCTATCTCCGTAAATGGACTGCTTAGTGTTGAATTAATATGGCATACACTAAGCTCCAACTTATGTTTTAGGTTCATTTCAGCTTACCAAAAAAGATCAAACTATTTAGAAGATCTGTCTTAATAAATTTCGAAGTTTATAGAATTATGGTCCACTTTAGTACTAGTACACTTACCTTTACTGCCATAATAATAGACTTAATCCCGAAATCACAGATTTGTCATTATGTGAATGCCTAATCCATAAGATCTTACATAGAAGCCATGTCACTGTCTAAACCTACTGGTCCTGTGGTGACAATAAGCAATAGTATGTTTAGTACTTGTGAAGAACACTTTTAGGCTGGGGATAAAATAACACGTTTAATATGAGGAGGTACGAGTTAAGCAAAATGACCGCGCCTGCAAAGTCGATAGGAATACTTAAGGTTTACATCCATTTTTCATAGTGAGAATTAAGACAATGACTTGAGAGATATAGATGCTGAGATAACCTTCACAAAAACTATGGGGTTATGTGGTGAGAGGTGCTTAGACAATGAAACATCTATTTGGGAAAAAATGGGTGGGAGGGTGTAAAGAAAATTAAACGAACAAAGTGTATGGGAAATGACAATAAATAAAGTCAATTATTTAGGCCAGGGGGAGATAAAGGTGAATCTTAAGAGTTGGATTGGTAGTTCAAATTCCTGTGTGTAAGAAAAGAGATCGAACCCCATAAGAAAAACTAATATAAATACGATAAATAACTTTAAATGACTTGTTTCTGTCTACTACATGGCTTCTATTGGTCAGACGTGACAGAACCGAGCTGCGTATCGTCTTGACGGTGCCATTTCCTAACCATGTAGGGAGGTGTTCGCTTTTTTGTTGGCAAAGTTATCCAGCATTGCTCGCAGTACAGTTTTCTCTAGAGGAGCAGCTGCATTAAACATTGTCTTTACTGCTCCAGTCAGTCTATCCCGTAACACATTACTAGTTACACCTCTTTCAAATTGCAGCCTCAGGAAGAGGGACTTACTACTAGCCGCTGATGTCGCTATTTTGCTGTTTGTTATATGCAAGTGTTTCTTCAGGAAACCCTGTGGATAACCCATTTCAATCAACATTTGTATAAGCTCTAATTTTTTGTTTATTGTATCGAGTGAGCATATCTTTTTAGCTCTATTTGCGAAACACCTAACTAGGTTTCTTTTATAACGAATAAATGCAAAGCTCAAGAAACGTGTGAACTGGCTTGATGAAGAAAATTTCCCATACATTTTTCTACTGATGGAGTCGGTTTTACTGTTTAACAAAACGCCAAACAAGTATATCTCTTGATATATAACCCTGTAGTTTTATGGATTTCGTCCCAACATCTATATTCTTTACACCATTGTCCTAATCTCTATTATGAAACATGGATACAAAACTTTATTATCCTTATTACATCTAGTACACCTGTCATCACACGATAAATCTGCATTTTCTTATTATCGTGTTTGTTTACGTAGGACTTTACTGACTGGTTACATACGCGTAGTCATGTGGAAGCATTTGAAGGGAAGAGCGGACTCTACACTTTCGTCTATACAAAGGCAATTGGGGGGAATTTACTTTCATGTCATTCATTTGTATAAGAGTAAACTTAGTCCTGTATTAAATCACGAGCTCTTGATATAAAAGCTCTTAAGCTATTTTATAATGAGTAACTACTCATTATTTGGTTATGGTTGATATATTTTCGACAGCTATTTTATGTCTCGATAGCATGGTACTCTCTCTGATGCTAAACACTGCCAACATAAACCGAAGTGCATGAACTGAGTCATCTGTTGTGTATGAGCATCCGGCAACACAATCATAACTGGCTTACTTTCAACTGTATTATCGAATTCCACTGATAACTGTCCAGCTAAAACCAGATTTACATCACGAACTTCATGTTAAGACGTCCAACTTCCAATCACCCTGATCCCTGAATCAAACTCTACCTCACAAGCGTCAGTTTGGTTAACTTAGTAGTATCACAATTACAGGGTGGCCTACATACATGTCTAGTAAATCAGTTTGGTTCTGTCTAACCATAATTGTCTCCTGAGCAGTAGCTGTGAATTATTAAACTAATCGTTGATTAATGATGACATGAGATTGAACGTAATGTACCAGGTAAATTGGTTGATGACATTTCAGACTTTAACCGACTGAAATGGTTAGGATATGTGCAAATCACCTCCAGCAACCACTTATATCAATGCGCTATAGCATAAGATTAAATCGAGAAACCATCAAGAACTATCAGTTATAATATTATTAGTTCATAAAGTCATTATTGACTTTCTCTGACGCTTATTAAGAAATGCAAATACTCCGACGATTGTGTGCTACTTGACTGCGATTAATGATAATGTTAAATAGGAACGTTGGTAACTAATATTTCCACGAAGGATATTACTTCACTGTACAACTTTGAATATAAAGCATCTTTAGCCTCATAACACATTTACTGGGCAATAATTTTGTTATTAGTGATTCCCCCAAATGCCCTGGTACAGCCGAGAGTAGGAAGAATCCACTCTCCCTCTCGAAATGCTTTCATATGGCCACGCGTATATAACCTCTGCTGAGGAAGTCCTACTCACTGCCTTCTCGTGGTGGGAGTCTTGTTTACGAAATTGAGAGGACGAAAAGCGAATGTCCACAAAAGGTCGTGTGTGACCGACCTCAAGCAGTTGTCCCTTGGGCACTTCGATCACGCTCTCAGATCATTAAGACCACTCCTTTTCAGGTGCACTCAAGATCACTGCATTCATAATTAATCTACTTCTTCAATTCCTATTATTACCCCACCTCGAATTTCAGCACTAAACTTCCCCTTTCGACTTCTTCCTCAAGTGTCACCATGGCCAACGATTCTAGTGCGCAAAACACTGTCCCAGGTGTATACACTCTTTATCTTCATTTAAACCTTGAAATTATAATTGCTTCATAACTTCCTTCCTATACTATATCTTTATATACAACCTTTCGTTTATATATTACCCATACTGAATTAACTATGAATCCGGTGTTCATCTTGTTGTGCTCAGGAGGTATGACAACTTGGATCGATGCGTAAATGTGCCTTGTCCTACACTGTAGCTGACTGACTGATTGACTGACTGACTATTAGAGTGAAGCCTGATGAAGTTCTAAGTGAATAGAAAAAATACCACTTTCCATTTTCACTGTGAAAATTGTTCACAAAATTTACAACTGATTTAATTATCATTGGAGGGTTCTTTTGTTTATCGAGACGCCCTAATTAATTTAATGAATTTGTTTGATTGTTCTAGAGCATTAGGTTTTGTCCAATAAGAGACGTGACAAGTGTACGTGATAATTTGATTACTGTTCCTACATGGATATGTCTGTCATTTTCTGTATTGTGATTCTCACAACCTCTTTAAATATTATACATGCGAAGAAATATGACCCATCAAATTGCGAAGGTAACTTAATTTAGTAAATTTTTTATTTCTGTAGTGTGCATAAAGTTCGTCGGCTCCTTCATCCAGTCACTTGAGCCTAGTGATTTCAATTCACCAGCGAAAATCAGAGATGCATTCATGAAAAGGTGTGAATCTTCAGTTGGAAAGGACAATAGTTTCGTAAGCCATATTATTTGTTCTTAAAACCCGTAGTGTTATTACGTTGGCGGCCTTAAAACATCCGCGGCGAATATTCTTAATAGTCTAGTTGACCCAATTTCATGGAAGATGCCTGTGGAAAAGGTTTGTGAAAAGCTGTTCAAAATAGACTCTCAAATCTGTGATCTTAGATACGGTAAGTGCTTTGTTCTACCTAATTTTCCCTGTCAGAAAAAGTCATAGATTTTAAGGAGTTCAACTTTGAAAAGTCCAAAGTGAAGGATCTTAAGAAGATCATAGAGAGATGGGGGCTAGAATGTCGTGGTTGTACTGAAAAAAGAGATTATATCAGCTTGATTAAAAGTAATATGCACAAGCATGATCCTGAAGCAGCAGCTTATCTACAAGCAAGGGGGGAGCTTTGAATTTTTAATACATTTTATTGTACAAAGTTATTTATGAGTTTTTTAGTTTTCATATGTCTGTTCTTTTTAATGAAATATAATTTTGGTCCTTAATGTTTCAGCATTTCGTATCTAATAAGATGAGTCGGGATCAGTGTAACAATCTGCTAGATCTATCGGTCAATTTCTACAAGTGGTTAGTAATACTCTGTTTTAGTTGTGATACCTTGTTGATGTGAATGGGTATAAGGTAGTTCTATATTCATAAGAAGTGTTTCACACCTAAGTGTAAATTTGATTGACTTCGAATAAATTAACAGTTGAGTCGACGATGACGTTAAAAAAAAGCTCACCAACTTAGCTTCAGTTATGTGAGTTTGTTTGCATAGTGCTACCAAGAGTGACAACTCATAGGTAATAATTAATAAACCGAGACCAAATCCGAATTATGAATGTTTCTGATGCTTGATATCGAGTTTTATGGGAAGTTTGTATATCAGTCAATTTATTTTTTTAAATCACCGTTTACTGGAGTGGTTTTGACTACGCTGTCACTCAGTGCACATAATTATGTGGGCACATTAAAAGTACAAAAAAAGAAGTCACCAAATGTCCTTATCGTGCGACTGAGATTTGGGATGACTTCCCAAATATATATATATATATATCACTTAGATTTTATTTTCATATTGTTTATAGGCTTTAGGGACATTCGATCGAAACTTTTAGTCTAAACTTAAAATAGTCTTCCTTTATTCCTCTTGTAATAGTATTCTTGAAGTTATTATTACCTTCATCCACTCTATCTAACGCTTTCCGTGAAATTCAAATTGCTTTGCCTGCGTCTTATTCCTGCTTATTGTTACTCTTTTCTAAAAGCTTCTAAAACTGACCACGTTATTTTTTGTAAAAAAATAAATCCAGGCCCTTATCAAAATACGGTTAAAGAATGGTCAGGAGGAATGCGTTACCACAGCCCTGGTTGGAGAATCTAGGTGACATGGCTCTGAATCGATCACAATGGCGTAGGTGTATACACTCTTTATCTTCATTTAAACCTTGAGATTAAAATTGCTTCATAACTTCCTCCCTATACTATATCTTTATATACAACCTTTCTTTTATATATTACCCATACTGAATTAACTATGAATCTGGTGTTCATCTTGTTGTGCTCAGGAGGTATGACAACTTGGATCGATGCGTAAATGTGCCTGGTCCTACATTGTAACTGACTGACGGGTATTTAAAGAGAGTTTGACAGTAGTTATTACCCAGTTTTTCCTTAAACTTAATTTATGAATCCAGTATATAATGTGAATATGATTATTTGGGATTTTTTCAAGCAATTATTATTGGTCGGATATTTCCCATCTAGTTAGTTGTTTTATATTTTGAGTTATCCTTCTTCGTCTAAGTTGGTAAAAGCTTCCGTTTATAGCTTGTGCAAATGAAATCTAACGATCGTCCATCGAAGAACAGTTTCTTCAGGTTGATCATAACTACCCTGACATAGGCATCCCAAAACTATTCATAAGAGCTACTGACACTCACTTCAATGAGGAATTCAAATCCAATGGAGAATTTTTTAAGCAACTTGGTATCGTTGTGATTCAATCAATACTGACTTATCTCCTAGCATACTGTTTTATGGAGAGGCTGGAAGATACTGTTCACTGACCAACTATTAGTAAGTTTCATTTATACTAGGAATACATGGACAATGTGTTTATCATCTGTGACGAAAATAGCTAAGTTAAAGGCCTGCTATACTAACATTAACACTAAGTAGCGTTAGACACTGTTAGCTTTAAAAAAAGTTCTATAAGTAGGTAAGCAATTCATATTTTGTAAGATTTATTTCCGTTATTCTTAAAGGTATCGAAAATGACGGGTTTATTAACACTGGTCTTACCGCACTGTGTGCGACATGGTTTTTGTATTTGACTAGTGGATGATCTAATCAACGTGTTTTGATTACTTGTGGCTTAACAACTAATTTAATTTTAAATCGGAGGGTTAATTTTCGCGCAATATTTTACCAATGATCCAATCTAACTGAGTAAACTTTTCGATGCAAAGATACTTTTGAACAGTTAGCAACCAATAAAAATTTTAAGTAAATGAAACGAGTTCATATCGTTCTGATTTAATAAACATCACTGATTTTTTTCATATTTACAACATTAGAATAAACGAGCCGAGAATAACTGAATATTATATTATAACTACGTTAAATAGGGGTTTTGATTTAGGCCTTTTAAGAAATCAAATAGACTAATTTATGACTAGTATTTTAAATATATAATATTTGCCTTTGTTAGAAATCTCTGAACATTGGTTGACTTTCTCAATAATAAAGCTGAAAAACACTAATTCAGTCTCGAAAATGAAGAAAATTTCAATTCGGTAAACGATTTTCGACCGATTTACAGTTTTCAAGTTACTTTATTGCAATTTCATAAACTAAAAAGCGTGAAAAGAATAGGAAACAATAATCAGTTATTCATATACTATCTCCAAGTAGATTAAAAGTGTTGTATAGTGACAGGCATTCAACTTAAACACTTGTTATCGACTTTCTATGACGCCAGACTACTTAAACACACGAAGTTTAACATTATAGAGGACGTTCAAAATATGGGTAAAAGCTTTGATCCAAGTCTCATCTGTATACAGAAAAGAGCCTTATTTGGGGTTTTGATAACCGTTAATTTGTCGTTTCCAGAGTTTAAACAACAACGCAGATAATCATCCAATTAGAGTTTAAAGCTATCTGCCAGTCATCTATGTCTTAGTGGCGTATGCTGATTGGACGAAATGATCAGATTGTGGCGCATGCTGATTGGTCGAAATGTCCTTACTATTTTTCTTTGCCATTTATACAATTGGCTCACTTCACAAACTTGAGCAAGGCAAAAACAATATTAACAGAATACAATGAATTTGTTTCATTTTATTGTCCTCACTTCAACTACATACAAGTTCAGATGCTAGATTGTTTCTAACTAGTAGTATAATGTTGAAATTGAATTGTGAATCAATTCATGTTGTGTGTGATGTGAAAGAAGTTGAAAATTAAGTTCTAAAATATTTCGATAATCGGTTAAGTAAATTTTAGGATGTTAAGCTCATTCTACTGGATTACATGACAACATTTCTTGGAAGTTTAGACAGAGGAAGTGGATGTATGAAGTCAACTTACTAAGTATTAACAAGGCAGTCGAAAGTTAACCAATAACTCTTTTTGAATACAAAACTCGGTTCAAGCCTTCAAATTGCCATGGCTCCTGAAGATTTTAATAACATGAAATTAGATTGTTTATTTGTAACGTTGTATGATTTTATTCAATCCACGTTATGCTCCGTGTCATATAGGTAATAAGCTGCTGAAGGTGCAGGTTTTATTGAATATGCTCATTAAAATGAGTAGATAGTCGTCTTTATGTCCGCCCAATTTTCATACTTTTGCATGTACATTTGAAATGATATATGCATTTGGAGGCAACATTTGACGGATATTTGCCTACTTTCATTTGCGTTATTGAGCATAGCGTTGTGTACAGTGATATCAACTTCGCAGTGGGGAATGTTCTTCTTGAAGTTAATTTAAACCTTTGAGTGGTCAATTTTATATATATTACGACAACACGAACTCATTCATTTCATAGTTTCTTTCCAGCTGCTTGCAACTAAAATGTCATTATAGTAGTCATTGAAAATGTCTTGTGCATACTTTATGTCATAGTTTCAGACAAATTCTCATTGATGAAGACTAATGAAAAGTGTAATCAGTATGGATAAGTTATAAGTTATTGTAGCAGTAAATAAATTCTCCAAATAAATAGTTCTGCCAGTCTTTGACATTGGTGCTACCCTCATTAGTTTTACTGGACACACCCTAGCTGAAGACGATACATCAAGCATACACACCAGATCACTATCGGGTACGCCATGCTACGCAGCCCTAGTGATTACATACTTCCCAACGTATCGACTATCCTCCAAATATATATTTGAGTTCGTTCACTTCTGATCCCTAGTTTGATTGAATTTGAGATCCTCGATTATAAAAGTGCTACGGACAGAGCATTGTGAAACCCCGAATATTCTTGACATCTTTCAGATGGTTGAATGTTTATATTTTAAATAATATTTGTTAATTATCTTGAATGAATTTATGACATGTCCACTGTCAACATAATTAAGAAACAGAGGGCATTGAATTTACTCCTTTTTTACTGAATCAGTTCCCATAACTGGTATATAAGAACTTTCATATAAATTTGATCTAATAGTTTAACAGTATTTAGGCGCCGATTTGATGTGAGACATTAAAGAGGAAGAATGTAATCAGACTTATACACCCAGAAAGATGCAGGTATTAATCTTGTTTCGTCATTGTAACCTGATTTTAAAATGTTCTTTGCGTAACCTATTTTTTCCATGACACTAATTATAATTTCTTGCTTCTTATCTGGCTTGTACTCAGTCAAATTTATCTTACATTTTAAATATTATATAACTATAACACTAATATTTCATTTCTTAAGAGTTCTGTTTCTATCTACTTAATTTTCATTCTAGAATATTCATATATTCAGCGTTTAGATATTGAACTATACGAGAATCTCTTCTAACTATCCCTTACTCATTACTTTTTACACTAATTTTTATTGATGAGAATTTATCTGATATATGTATGTACACCACATTTTTAATGATTACTACAATGATGTTTGGATTGAAAGCGGCTGAAAAGAAAATATGAAACAAATGATTTTATGTTATTGTGATAAATTTGTTGTTCTTGCCTTGGACAAACAAATAGGTAAATATGTGACCCAGTTTTATGCGATTTTCTTAAAATAAAAGTTTAAAATTTCTAGTACTGATATAACGGATTTTCAAAATATTTCTTTCACCTAAGTATTTCACGATAATATGTTAATACGATAATGATACTAGCCACGTCTTATCAGATCCAGGATTCACGACCCGGAATAGAGAACCAGAGTATAGACTAGATAATACTTTATTCAACACAATCACTAGCGGTCACTCTCAGTAAATGCGGAGTAGAGATTTATGAGAGGAAAAGAAATCATATATTTTGTAGTCAGTAATCTGTAGCTATTTGTTCACGTTCAACGACCAATCATGTATTAATTTCACTACTGCACATCAAGTATTGATACATTTGAACGCTTTACTCCCATCTTGAGACGTCAAACCGTATTCTCTTCATAATAAATTCTTATTTCTTATAAGGCAAAACAAGTTAAAGACAAGTCAAGACAACTGCATGCTGTGAAAAGTGTTTGGTTTGACTGACTCACTCAGTTTACTCATGATGACGTTCAATTACATTTACTTGACTGTGACATTTCACCAAGGAAAAGAAGACTTGATTAACACCGAGAAATTTACCGGTCGAAGTTATTTCCCGACTAAATGAATAATCTAACCATAAAGCTCAAACTTTACATAGACTGTTATAATGTATGAATACTAAAATCAGATGCTTCTTTTCTCACCTTAGGTATACGTTTATTTTTATTCTGTATAAATTCCATAAAGGCATCGTATCCATGTGTCTCTTTCATTTTCCCATTTAAGCTTTCCATTAGTTCCTTATATGATTTAGTTTTAACACTGTCAAATTCACTTTTATTGTGTATCGTATTCGCACCATTATCTTTGATAACTTTCCATTGTTTGGGTGGAATAAACCATGCACCATAATGTAATCTTTCAAAATTCTGAATTATTAGTTAACAATCGAAAGAAAATAGGTAAAATACTCTTAACGTTGGTTAAATATACGTAATGTACCTATTGAATACATCCGTCATACTTACATGTTATTAACTGGCAATTACTTTTGATATTTCATAGTCTTCACCCTTTTTCCATTTTTATTTAGTCGATACAGCTTGTCCCAATCTTAGTAAATTAATTTATGGATTACTTAAGTTTACTTATTTAATCAATTTTGGGCTCGGATTACAGAACTTTCACTATATTTATACTGTTTGGTTTTTATAAACTATATAGTTTATATGTTGACCGATCAGCGTTAATTTTACCGGACTATCATGGATTGTTGTTCCCGACCAAGAAGCGCTTCATTTAAATGGTGTTATTTCATCATTCAACTTATATATTTATATTCATAGTGCAACAACCTAAGTAGCCTTCTGAAGGTCCCTGTTTATTTTTAGAATTTCATTTATATTGATATTAAAGAAGTATAAGATGTAAATATCAGTTAGTTTCAACCTAATTATAAAGTTTCATTGCAGTTTCCATTAAGAAGAAAAAATACTGAGATCAAATTAAGTGAACCATTAGACATTATTACTGACACCAATATAGATTCTGGATATTTAACACTAAGAAAAACTGAGTTGGTAAAAATTACTGACACTAATCGCCAGAATTGGCTGGTGGAATAAAAACTTCTTATTTTTTACGGTTAGATTTCATCTGACTGTATCATTCATGCCTCGAAAGTTTATTTTCATATTATATGGACTGTTAGTATCAATAATTGAGCAATTTGAACTTTTGTGATTTGAGGCTAGTCAGCTAAACAAACAACCAACAGTTGATTGGACTACTCTCTTTTGGTCAGTTAAGATGGTCATCAGTTTGATTACCGTATTCGCAATGAACTGATAGTAGAACCATTGAAAAGTTAGGGGTACTAGATAGATGATATAACCATTATTTGAGACTCTTAAACTGTGTGAACACCCAACACTATAATGGTTTCACCGACCAATAAACTGAACTATGTCAACAAATGTAGGGATCTTGATTAAGGTTCTTGAAATACTTGTAATCTAGGGTTGTAGATTGGATACGAAGACGTCATGGGACAATATGGACTGGGAGGAAGCAACGAAAACGGTGAGAGATTTGCAAACCTATGTGCCTTCAATAAACTGGCCATAGGTGGCACCATATTCCCACACAAAAACATACACAAAGCCACTTGGATTTCACCGGATCACACTACACAAAATCAAATCGACCATGTCTGCATCAACAAAAAGTTCAGGAGGACGATGGAGGATGTGAGAACCAGAAGATAAGCTGATATAGCATCCGATCACCATTTGCTGGTCGCCAAGATGAAACTAAAACTCAAGAAGCACTGGACAATGGCGCGGACAACATCACAAAAGTTTAACACGGCCTTTCTTCGAGATGCTGACAAACTCAACGAATTTAACATAGCCCTCAGCAACAGGTTCGAGGCCTTTCATGACCTACTCAATGGAGAGGGAACCACCATAGAGAGCAGCTGGAAAGGTATCAAGGAGGCAATCGTTTCAACATGTCAGGAGGTTCTGGGCCAAAAGAAGCACCATCACAAGGAATGGATCACTGTTGGTACACTCGATAAAATTGAAACAAGGAGGAACAAGAAGGTAGCAATCAATATCAGCCGAACAAGAGCAGAAAAAGCCAAGGCACAAGCCGAATACACAGAGGCAAACAAGCAAGTGAAGAGGAGCATCAGGACCGACAAACGTAAATATGTGGAAGATTTAGCGATGACAACGGAAAAGGCTGCAAGAGAGGGAAACATGAGACAACTGTATGATACAACAAAGAAACTTGCTGGAAATTACCGTCAACCAGAAAGACCAGTGAAAAACAAGGAAGGCAAAGTAATCAACGATATTGAAGAACAACGAAACAGGTGGGTAGAACACTTCAAGGAACTCTTGAATCGACCAGCTCCACTGAACCCACCCAACATCGAAGCAGCACCCACAGACCTCCCAATCGATATTGGCCCACCAACAATTGAAGAGATCAGCATGGCCATTAGACAAATCAAGAGTGGCAAAGCAGCGGGACCAGACAACATCCCGGCAGAGGCACTGAAAGCAAATGTAACAGCAACTGCCAAGATACTCCACATCCTCTTCAGTAAGATTTGGGACGAAGAACATGTACCAACAGACTGGAAAGAAGGACTTCTCATCAAGATACCAAAGAAAGGAGATCTGAGCAAGTGCGACAACTACAGGGGCATCACTCTCCTCTCAATACCAGGAAAAGTCTTCAACAGAGTATTGTTAAACAGGATGAAGGATTCTGTGGACGCTCAACTTCGAGATCAACAAGCTGGATTTCGTAAGGATAGATGGTGCACAGATCAAGTCGCAACTCTGCGGATCATTGTGGAACAATCAATCGAATGGAATTCATCACTCTACATCAACTTCATCGACTACGAGAAGGCATTTGATAGCGTGGACAGGACGACACTATGGAGGCTTCTTCGACACTACGGCGTGCCTGAGAAGATAGTCAACATCATACGGAACTCCTATGATGGACTAAACTGCAAAATCGTCCACGGAGGACAACTCACCGACTCGTTCGAGGTAAAGACCGGTGTTAGGCAAGGTTGCCTACTCTCACCCTTTCTCTTTCTCCTGGTGATCGACTGAATTATGAAGACGTCAACATCTGGAGGAATACACGGGATACAGTGGACAGGCAGGATGCAGCTTGACGATTTAGACTTCGCGGATGATCTGGCTATTCTATCACAAACGCGACAACAAATGCAGGAGAAAACTACCAGTGTAGCAGCAGCCTCGGCAGCAGTAGGTCTCAATATAAACAAAGAGAAAAGCAAGACTCTCCGATACAATACAATATGCACCAATCAAATTACACTTGACGGAGAAGCTTTGGAGGATGTGGAAATTTTTACATATCTGGGCAGCATCATTGATGAACACGGTGGATCAGATGCAGATGTGAGCGCGCGGATCGGCAAAGCAAGAGCAGCATACCTACAGCTGAAAAACATCTGGAGCTCAAAACAATTGTCAACCAACACCAAGGTCAGAATTTTCAATACAAATGTCAAGACAGTTCTACTGTATGGGGCAGAGACGTGGAGAACTACGAAAGCCATTATCCAGAAGATACAAGTGTTTATTAACAGCTGTCTACGCAAGATACTTCGGATCAGATGGCCAGACACTATCAGCAACAAGTTACTGTGGGAGACAACAAACCAGATTCCAGCCGAGGAAGAAATCAGGAAGAAGCGCTGGAAGTGGATTGGGCACACTTTGAGGAAATCACCCAATTGTGTCACAAGACAAGCCCTCACATGGAATCCTGAATGTCGAAGGAGAAGAGGAAGACCAAAGAACACATTACGCCGAGAAGTAGAGACAGACATGAGAAGAATGAACAAGAACTGGAAAGAACTAGAAAAGAAGGCCCAGGACAGAGTGGGTTGGAGGAAGCTGGTCGGCGGCCTATGCTCCATTGGGAGTAACAGGCGAAAGTAAGTAAGTAAGTAAGGGTTGTAGATGATTACATAAGCAATAGAACCCCATGACCTAGGTGTCTTGAATGGTCGTCTTATCACTCACTAGGTTTTTTCAAAATTTGAGATTCATCGAATTTTCAACAACATTTAACTTGCAGTATGGATCGTATATCATTCAATGTAATCTAAAAAATGTCCTTCTGTGTCACCGACTAAGTTTAATTCATGAAATAAAGTACATAACACTAGCGTACGATCATCAATAAGTGAGAGTTTATTATTACTGTGTCGTTCCTTGTTAATAAAACTAATTTATAATGTGTAGGTTTATGAAATTGTCTTTGAACTCCATCTTTTTGTGCCAATATTCAACCGCTCAAACTAAATTAAGTCGAACCGAATTCAACTCTTGTCTACTGAAGCACTAAGTAGTTAACTTCACTAGACTTATTTATTTATTTAAACACATAAATATTGGTACAATGAAGCACCAGATAAATATGCGCCTCACAAATCTCATTCGATTTGTGTGAGGGCTGTGATACTGCTCAGGTGCCCAGACTGAAGCAGGTGGTCTTCTTAGGGGGACACACCCGGAGCCTTTGACCTAAATGTCTGATCCACAAGGTAGTGGAGCATCGTGAGGAGATGCAGTCCCATGGTAGACGGTGACCAATGACATGTTCGTCCGCCATTCGTTCCATCAGGATCCTGGAGCCCATGTGCACCATTGGTTTGGAATCAGGGTTTTCCAACTCCCCTAGGTGGATCCTCCGTGTCCACCAACCCGGTTAAAGCGCCGGACATTCGCTTTTCGTCCTCTCACTTTTGTGAACAACACCCCCGTCACGAGAAGGTAGTGAGTAGGACTTCCCTGGCAGAGGCTATATATTCGCTGGCCATATGAGAGCATTTCGAGAGGGAGAGGTGACTCTCCCCACTCTCGGCCGTACCAGGGCATTTGGGCTAGACTAAACACAAGGCGTAGTTAAGAGCCAAGTAAATGGACTAGAACTTGTTTATACTGTTGTTGTTCATAAAAATATGTGGAGGATTCCTCACACTGTGAACAGTTTCTAAATTTCAGTGGTCTAGAGGTTAGGAGCGCGATAACACAAGCCTTGGGTTCAAATCCTGCGTCGGGATTGTGGGTGCGCACTGCTGAAGAGTCTTATGGTAAGACAAAACAGGCGCTCGGTGTCTTCGGGTTTTCAATGCTGGTCCAACATTGATCGGCTCATGATCTCAATTAAAACTTATCAATATCCACAACCGTGTACTGATAAATCCTTATATATTTGGGAGTTAAAGACTTATATGACTTGATTTTTTTAAACGATTTGGAAAAATTAAAATACGAGGCCGTTTTCTGTAAGAGCCTTGCATCAGTGCTCTTATAAATGAGAAAAAACATTGAGTTTGGTGTCCTTTTAAACAGTTGTTAAACGGTTAGTGGTGCTGAATATTTTATCTTAAGATCGTTATTTTATATTATTTTATGGAGAGACCATAGATAGTTACCTTTTCTTGTTTTTTAGCCGCATTTGACTTAGTTATACGTGGTAAACTCTCTGAATCAGTCAAAGAATTCTTATCACAGAGTAATTTGGGTGGTTCTTTAACAGAATGTCTTAATTCATATGGTAAATTAATTAATTCAACAACATTAATTGGTGTTGATACTGGGGGTTGAGCTTCATGTGTTCCAGCAAATAAACTTGCTAGTGTTGTTGGTTCTGGATTGTCAATTGATGAACCATCCAAATTCTTAATAAATTCACAAAACGCTAATGCTTCTTCTTTGACTGATGGATACTGTTAAGTTGAGAAAAAAATAGAGTTAATAATATCCTGTATAAAGAACACCCGAAAATGAAACAATCTTCGAAATCTTTTAATATATTAATAGCGAGAACTGAGAGCCAAATACCAGGATATTCTCATGAATTGTTATGATTGATTAACTGAATCACTTCTGTTAAGTCCATCACATTGAATCGTTTAAAGTTAAAGAATATCATCTACTGAAAAGTCTTTTTAGTAGTTCAGATTGGTTTGTGTTTTAACAACCGCGAGCCCTATTTATATTTTGTGAGACCTTTATTAACAACATGAGAAAATTAGCTGAAAACCCATAACTTAATATGGAAACCATTTTTACATAATATAAAGCATTGAAAACAAACATTAAGGAATGAAGTGAATGTATCTCATTTCGTACATTTTAAATTTTGAACTCACACAGTAATTTCACCTATAAGATGTTTTATCTCTTTATGAGAAATATACATAAAATCACTTTGTTTTGCCAGTGAAAATAATCTTAGGCACTTTCCACAACCCTACATTGATCAGGTACTAGTTTGAGAACACTAGGCAAATTAACCAATTAATCATTTCTAGATATATTCTATCTATAGTCGACCATGTTTCCTTTAGATTTTACTGTTGAGATCGTGAATCAATTGAAGCTAGACCACCATAGAAAACCTGAAAGGACTGGATGGTCGTTTCGTCCTGTTTCGGGACTCCTCAGCAGTGCTCATCCATGATCTCGCCTTGCCAGATTCGACCCCAGGATGTATCAGTCTCGTGCGCTCAAATTTTTCTTACTAGTTATCGGCTAATTTCACGGATTCCGAATATGATCAACAAGTATCTTGACATGTAAACCTTCCAAATTTTTAAACTGTCCATGGAATGGAGTGAGATGTCATTGTCCTTGAACATGATAGAGGTTTACATATGGTTATCACGAAAGTCATGAATACAAGGAAGAAATATTATCCATTTTTAGTGATCAAAGCCTGTTTATGACAAGGGTTTCGTTGAATGATATTAAGAAATTAAAAGGAATGGTCTTGTGAAAAGTGTTATAACTGAAAAGAAATCCAACTGTGTGAAACATATTGTATCTAAACTCTCAAACTGAGATTCATAAACGCAACAATTAAGATTAATACAAAGCTATGAATTTGCGAGACGGTTAATAATAGCTGGCTAGGTTCAACCTGAAATAAACTATGTTAAACTGTTTTTCTAAAACGGCAAATAGGTAGCTGAAGTCTACTTGGTTAAAGTTCACATAATAACCACGATTGATTGTTGAAGACTTCTAGTGAAAACTTAGAATCTGTCACAATGGTGCAGATGTATTCACTGTTTATCTTTCTTAAGCTCTCGAGTTTTAGCATTCATTAATAAGTACCTTCTCATTCTTGAATTGTTCTTTCTCATTATTGCTTATGCACCATATACTATGTGTTCAGTTCTTCTTCCTATCATTGCTGTGACATTATTTTCATTGTTTTACTAATCATCTTTTTTAAATTTATCAATTTAATTCGTTATAGTAATATGGATCAGTGCATATTTTTTATTAGGTTCTACGTTCATTAGGAATGATTAACTTCCTAAAAAGAAATGCACTTGAGCCTATTAACTTTTTATTTAAGCTTTGATTCGGTTTGTTGACTGCTTAATTATTGCTTCGATAAAATATTATACTGAAAAATGAACTTTACAGTCTATTCTTGAAATGAATAACAACTGAAAAGAACTGGAAAGAATTGTCCAGGACAGGGTTGGATGGAGAATACTGGTGTGCGGCCTATGCTCCTCCACGAGGGGTAACATGTGTAAGTAAGCTATTCTTGAAAAACGTTGATAAATGAATTAATTAAAAAAGAAAACAAACTAACTTCTATGAACATTTCTGGTTCAATGAAATCTTCATCTTCAACTTTTGATTTCACTGAGCTAACTGAAGAGTTTAACTTACTATCTCTTCTTTAATTTTTTTTTCAAAAAAAAGACATAAAGGGGAAATATGAATCGTTGAATTTATCCAAGAAAATCTTATGAATTCTGATCATATTGCTTTATCTGAATTATTTTCGCAAATTATCTACATAATCAAATGATTAACTTCAAAGATAGAACCGGTAACGGAGACTTGCACATCGTAGATGCTTTAAAAAGTCAACAGTCTATACCGTAAATCAGGGTATGAAATTGTCATGTGATACATCTCTTCTAGTTTGTGTATTTAAAAAAAATAAGAAGTCAGTTATCATTACCATCTTCCAAATTTTCAAAATGATTATTTGTCAACCATTTCCCCTTCCATGTTATTCATTTCTTCTTCATCTCCAGTCAAGTGAATGATTAGCTCTTCTCTTTCTGATACAGATGCAGACTACTTGGTTGGGGTCCGCGTGACTATCGTAACCAATAGTTGGAGACTCTAGGTAACATGGCTCAGAATCGATCACAATGGCGTAGGTGTGTAGACTCTTTATCTTCCCTTAAACCCTAAGATTAAAATTGCTTCATATCTGTCTTCCTTCCTATACTATATCCTCATGCACAACCTTTCTTTTATATATTACCACCATTAAATTAACTACTTCTATGAAATCGGTGTTCATCTTGTTGTGCTCACGAGGTATAGCAACTTGGACCGATGCGTATATATGCCTGGTCCTACGTTGTAGCTGATTGACTGACTGACTTCTGATTAATAAGTTCTTTTTTCTCTCTATGTTTCCTAAACTTTAAATTATTACGCAATTGTCTTATGATATTTGGATTCTTTGGACAGTTTTTATGATATAATCTTATTGTATTTTTCTTAAATAGATTAATACCTATATATCAAATCAGAATAAATACCACTGTACAGTTTTAGTAAATGATAATGTCGAAGGGAATATATCATTCACTGAATTTGTTTGATTGATTCTTCAGTGGCACAATAGGTCTCATTCATTACAAGAAGGATATTTTATTTCGTTGATTTTAATTGTCTTATGAACTAGAAAAAAAGATCTGAATAATATAATGCTTCACTTAATATATGTGACATGACAGTATGTTATTATTGTGGAGTCACAATAATGGTCTAGATCCATTATGATTTGAAAGAAAAAAACAAAATGTAGCCTGTTCGTGCAGGTATTTTTCCTTCATCATGCGTTGATTTTTTAATGACTTATAAGCTGCATTAGTTCTTCAAATAATATTGCTTCTTATTAAGGGCTTTTCTTGGAAGACTGGCAGAGTTTGGTCATGTTGAAAGTAAAACATTTTCTGCCAATAGCAATAAACAGTTATTGCTGTATATTCCAATGAATTCTGATCCGATAGTCTAGAGATGTCGTATATATTGTGGTACTTGTATTTAATCTCCGTGTGTCATGACTGCCCACTACTAAGGTGTCTCAAACCAGGATAAAATAGTTATCCAGTACTTCATCGTTTTCAGTGATTCTGAGACTAAAGTTATTCAGTTACAAAAATCATCATATATAACTGATCTCCACGATCCAATCAATTCATATTAATCATAAATTACCATAAATTTAACTTACATTAAACCACCATTTGATGGATTAGATAACTTCATCCCTGTTTTATTTTGAACATTTTCATGAATATTCTGATGTTTTGCTATTTTAATCAAATCTATCAGTCTTTCTTTATGTGGCCGATCTAACAAATCAATTACTGTCTTCGAAACCTTGATCATAAGTATGAAACAAACATTCAAAATGTTTAACTGATTAGAAAGTTGTAGCTTAGGTACATAACTTCTAATCACTTAAGCCATGGATTTAGAGACCTTTCTCATTTAATAAAACTTAATTGATTTTATTGTTTGAAGTAGTTTTACCTAAAAGGTCAGCGGGATATTAAGTCTACTTAATAAATCTGTTATTGATTATTGAGTTGAACCCATAATTTATAGTCGTTTAAAATCGATCAGTTCATGATCTCAACTAAAATCCAACAATCTACCCGAAGTTTTTGCTGATGATATCGTTCAGAAGAACGGTGAAAGCTCCACGACCAAACCATCCAACTTAGGAACAGAAAATTTTCACTATTTGTGTTGTGCCATTTTAGTTTTCCAACTAAATATATTTCATTACCATAATCATTATGGAATTAATTACCAGTCTTACGGTGTTTAATCTTAAATGGTGATCAAATTATATAGACTGATCTATTAGTGTAATTATTTCAGCTTAAGAATAGTGTCAATGGTTGTCATTCTACTTGGTACATGTTCAATTAGCAGAAATCTAATTACTTTTCAAGATTGTACAAACACTTTATAATGAGCAGCAACAAAGAATTCTCTAATTTGACCTATAACTAGCTGAAAAAACGTTTCCCTTTAAGACAGTCAACAATTTGTTTCTTTTCTTTATCTAGATTAGTAATTGGGGTATTCTCACTTTAATTGAAAAAAGATAGGATTACTATGCAACAGTTTAGTATCATAGGCAATCGAGAATGGTAGATCAGTTTCTTTTGATTGATCAGTAAACAGAATAAACTATCTGGTCGAATTATTTAGATTACTTAGTAGTATATGTCAAAGTTGAATTAGAGGAAAATATTATTAAAATTACTTCATGACTTTGAAGCTACTTTCACATAATGAGTAGAGTATCAGTAAAAATCAAAAGTAATTCACAATAGTAGTAGTAAAATCTATTAAATATTAATTGTCTTAGGAATGTTTATGGTTTTTTCAAGGTTTGTAGTCACTGTTCTGATCTTGGTATTGTTAAAATATGGCTTTATAATTTCATTTATCTAAATCGACATTAATTCATTCTACAGGTTTTTTTCTGAATCATAGTCAAAACGATAAATATTTTTTATCAAATATTCGTAATCACCTATAAAATCCCTATTAATGAGTTTGTTGAGTTATAGAGAATAGATTATCAGAAAATCATCGCTGTCACTATAGTGACATGAAAAGAAATATGCATAAATATTGTTACTTATTCTGGAATTTCTATTTTACCTGGTTGCTTGTTATTCAATAAACTACGAGTGTCATTCACTTTTGAACTTGAAAGTAGTCTTCTCTATTCTGATTGGCTGGCTCCATAGGAATACTGTGCTTTTACTGAAAATTCTGCTACATCGACCAATAGACTAAAATATTGGTACTTAATTAAACTACTTCTTATCGGTTAATTTTTTATTTTAAAACAAGTAAAGGAAGAGTTAGCAATAATTACTTAACCAAATAATGACGTCATACCAGCAATGTGATTTTCTGATATGGTAACAAATTTTATTTCACTAAACATTTGTTTCAATTAGATAACTAGAAGGTGACTAAATATACATGACAATCTAGGTTACAATAATCATCCAACATACATCAAAATCTGAATAGTTATATTATTGCTTCATCAGCTTATAGAAGGGGACTAACATGGTTAACTACTATTCAGTCCTAATTTAATTATCTAATGTTGCTGTGGTATTTGTAATAACTGATCATTCCTTTGTACTTCATTGAGCTCTGATTACGAATTCCAAATACAATACGTTCAATAACATCCTCAAACCCCAATCTTTCACATAATGCTTATACTCCTACTACTTCTACCACTATGGGATTTGAATCGACAACTGCATCTCTGTGCTAATGTGGTATGGCAACTCGAACTGATGTACGTACGTACGAAGTTCTACGTTGTGAATGACTGACTGTGACCATCTAGTTCTACATACTTTTAACTTACACTATTTCTGGAATTCTTAGTTAGCACGGTAATTCGTATACCTCTAATTATCATAGTTGAGATTAAATATTAATACAAACGTACATATAATGTTAATTTATTGATGTTATTAAACAAACTTACGGAAAGAGGTAAGTACTGAAGTAAGTAGGGAAATAATAATAAAGGATGACTCAATAACTTGCTTTCCAATTCATCTAGCTTTGAAGGTAGATTTTTATTATGATTATTGTGCTGTTTAATATACTGGTCCCGGGAACATTTGAAATTTTTTTCTTTGTCGATTATGACTGGTCCTACTGATTGAACAGACTGTTAAGGAGAATATAAACATGATTAACGTGAGATGTTATGGTTATTTGAATCAACAACATTCTAATCAGTAACTGACCAAAAGAAATCTTTTGGAATGTCATATTGTTTTTATATATGCCTTTCAGGAGTAAGTGTAGTAATAATACCTTATGTTTCGTTTATCAACCACTTTGATAACCGTTATCATGTAAATCCCAACGATATAAGGGCTCAGATGGCTTATCATTGGACAGCGCGGATAAAAACGTTACAAGCACACCGAAGGAGTTGAAGAAGAGAGGCTAATGTGTGTGAGCGGACGAATACAGAGGAAGATTTAGAGTCAAATCCGATCAAGGCGCAGCGAGGCGAGGTGAAGCGAAAGCAATTAATAAAACTCAAGCACATATATATGGAGAGGTGAATGATTCATCAAGCGATTAACACTTAAGCTAGAGTGAGGAATATGTGCGTAGGCTGTCGTATGTGATCAAGCCTACATGTTTATACAGACATGATAGTGATCATAATCACACAAAGAAACAGACAAATTATTACTGTTCGAATAATACCGTCTGTTAAATAATTTAATAAAAGGACTCGACAAAATTAGCTGTAGGCGAGTTGCTATATGAGCATAAGCTTGTATCATATTTCCAAAACTGACATCAACTACTTATTTGAAAAACATTTTGTAACTTTTTTAGTCAGTTGAAGAGAGCCCTACCAAAGGAAGTTAGTCTCATTTCGAACTCACGAGATTCTAGCCTCAACGTTAATCCACTTGGCTTATCGCGTCAAGGTCCTAATCTAGATTAAGATAAGTTATTTTCTGTATATTAGTGGGTAGACAGATTAAGGATGTAACAATGTATCACGATAGTTTCTTTGTACATTATTGACTAACAAATTCAACTTGCAAAATGCAATGCCTTCAATTGTGCTCGGTGCTTTCTTTATGAGGTGTGTATAAGTCTATTCGTGATTACTAGAGTACGGACTGGACAGTTCTAGCATACCAAATTCTGCTACTTCTATAGTGAACAAGAACACCAGTCGGGACAACCGAATGTATTTGAATACAAAATCACAGAACGTCTTAGTAAAATCTGAGATTCATACGGTAAATACATCACTTGCAAAATGTCAAACAATCGTCTCAGACTTGATTATTCCTTCATTTTCACATTAGTGATTCTCTGTTCTCATTCTCTTTTCTTCTATTTTCTTAACCTTCTGCCACCAGGCATTTCACTTTTGACCGATGATACATACTACTTATATCTGCCGACATCAGTGGCATACACCATACTTCTTCTCATTACACTAATACCAATTACTTTCGTTTTGTTTAGTTCTTAATTGTAACTCATATTTGTCGTTCGGGTTATAATGATAATAATAATAATGATAAAAATGGTAATAATCGTAGCTTTATTATTTATGGTATGCAATTGTATGTGCTAATAACTACATATTTCAGTGATGTATATATGAAATCAAATTTCTAACACTAACCAATCAAAAACCGTAAAAATTACCAGTGGAAAACATATGAAATGTTATCAGTATTGTAGTGGTTTAATGATTCGGACAAGTATGCAACTGAGGTGTACCATTATAAATAACCAAAAAAATACTTGACGGGAATCATTGTGCTAAGTAAACTAAGATTGGTGTACACAAAACCTAATTAGTTACTTCCACATTTACAAGATCCGGTTAATTATACGTTCTTATTGGATTCTATACGGTTCAAGAGGATAGTAACGGTTTAACTTAAGTTTCATGTTGAAATTTGAATAGACGGAAAATATGAACGACAGTTCTCTACAATAATTAATAGTTCCAGCTAAAGACGTAAGCTTGTGGAGATAGGACTATAAAACCTATTTTGTAAACAATTTTTCATAGTTTTTGCATCTGTTTTGTGCATTTTCATATTCTGTACATTTAACAATAAAAACAATTGTACTTGTTGTTCAAGTGTATTACTTTGAACACACGTTAATTGACTTCCTTCCGTTTTAAATGCAACATATCACGACATTGTACCTGCTCCTCAATAAATACACTCTAACATACACCTGCATCGTTCTGCTATGTTTGCAAATATGTTAAGTGAATTATTAATTGCATATCATCTGCGTTTATAGACAATTGTGACGCTCTTATTACATTCTACGTTGGTAAATCTACTGGAGCCATATCATCCACATTGGAATTATTAACCTTCTATAATTGTGGACTATCGGTACCAAACTCAATCGAACACGCAACAGCCAGTCAATTTAAGTAACGTCCCCTAACTTTTATTTGTGTGTTATTAACTTATAAACTGTTTATTGTTGTATAAACTTATGGACGTAATATTTTGTTATTGCCGTTTTGGTTAACATACTTTTTGGTCCGCCACAAGCTTTTGTTTCGATAGGATATTCTGAGGTCGTTTGATAACACGTAAGTGATATTGTGAACAGTACGAATATGAAATACTTAATTTCTCCTCAAATATGGAAAAACAGTATTCTTGGTTACTTTTCATTTAATTATTACTTTATATTGGTTAGAACATTGGTTATTTATTATTAGATGTAAAGTTATCACATTCAACAATGAAGTTTGAAGTATTACATATACATCAGTGTTGGATAATTGATTGTGTGTTAGCTCTCTACGTTCGATATTTAGGAAAGCTAGGTACAATTCCTCAGTTTTGGTCTTCATTTCCTTAATCGTACTGTTTGATAAACGGTAGGTCAGCTGTGTAAAGCCATTTAACACTTGAGAAGATATTTCAGACTAAGACGTTCTGAGAGTTAGATTGTAACTCACATGTACGAATACAGATCTTTAGACGTACTGTGGTGTTATGGGAGGGAAAATTTCAAAATTCGCGAAATCTAATATATGCCAGAATTAAGGCAGTCAGGGAAGACCACGTAAGTGGGATGTCAATGGTAACTGAATGGAAATTCCGTTGTACTCCGGACTCCTCAGCCATACGTATTTCAGCTGCTTAGATCCTCTAGCCCAGGATGTAATTGATTTATGATTACCTCATTTTATTCAATGTCAATTTGTAACGATAAAATTAGAATATATTGTTGTTGAGAGAGTATATTGTGTTGGTAAGAATTAAGGTTGAGGCTTTGTTCAGATCAGTTCATGGAAGACTTGACAAAGTATTAATAGTTTATTTGGTCTCTGATAGTCAAAGTTAGGATCCGTTGCTGTATATACTGTATTTGGTGTAATAAGGAGTATTTCCAGGGATTAGTATATGGTTCGTTGTCATTATGGTTTAATGTAGAGCAACTATTCAGGCAACGTTGGAAGAAAATTTTGTTTATTTGATGATAAAAATAATGTGATTTTTTAATGAACCAATGGTTTCTTTGTACTGATGACTGTTTTGATTTTGAATTCCAAATACAGTACATTTGTTCGTGCTCATCTATTACTTCTTGACTAAATTGAGTTATTCCCGGGATTACTAGTTCATACCATAATTTAAATACTTCAAATCATCACAAATAACCACTTGTCTGTAACGGTGGCGTTTACATTGTCTGAATCGAATTTCTGGACTATGAAAACTTCTTGATCATGAATAATATTCAGATCTGACCAAAATAGTTGTGGCTAAAGCATCTCGGATTAATAGATCAGTCTAGTGAATGTGACATTCATAAAGTTATTTTGTGCTTCAACCTAAATGTTACTGTAGAATTGCAGTTTGAGTGTGTGACTAATATGTGCGGTTCTAGTGTGAACTCACCTTCTCATAAATAACTGGATTATATTTCATCAGCCAAGTAACAGATTATCATTCATTTGGTCTCATATACATCATGAGTCGTTACTTTCTAGTAAATTAAGTTCTATCGTATGAGATCTGCTTTGTGGAAAATACCAGTACAGTTGATTAGATTTAATGTCGATTTTGAAACTGCATTAAAGAGCGTTAGAATTAGTCTAAACTAGCTAAAATACAATAAGATCTTATGCGCGATGTCTTTATTAAACTATAGTCTTAATTTATGACGATATGATAGTTTGTTCCTTGTATGTGTAAAATGGGTTTTCATGTTGATTATTCCTGATTTTTCTGTATGTCCGTGAATTTAATCTGTTTTGTAGCACCTGTTTCGTGACCCTGTAGAGAAATAAGATCATCATGCTTGTGTACAGTATATTATAAACTTGGTATATGAGTTATAATAATACTCTGAGGAAAAACTTCTCAACGGTCGAGCTTGTATCAGATTCATCATATTTTTGTAGAACATGTATCTATGAGAACATATGGTCACACACTTTAACTTATACGGCAAGTTTTCTAAGCTCACAATGGACTTTATATAAAGATTGCCAACCATATCACAACCAATTGTCGTTTAGAATTTGCTAATTTTTTATTTACTAAAATAAATAACTCTGAAATTCTAACTATGTGGATTTTTTGATGTATATGGCTGTCTGTATATTTGTTTGTCTACTTGTACTAACTATTTAGACTGCTTAAATTCTCGCTTCAGTTAGAATAAGGATTGACAGTTAAGTAAATCCATACATCGCGCAATGTGATCTATAGAACGCATAGTGTCAACAATATACCTCACATAAATTTACTCCCATTCATCCCTTACTACTGTTTTATGACTAGCGTACTTGAAATACAATGTTTTCTATCCATTGGAGCTGCGAATTTCGAGTTCTTGCACGACAACTACCGATCAATTAGAAGTATTAGAACTATTGTTTGTCCACACAGAGGTTGCAGTATCTGGCGTTGACATACGCAATTTTGTCATTTGTATCTGTTTGCAGTAAACTTTTATTGACTGGTGATCATGTATAGTTCGTGTTTATTTCAGGCGGTAGGAAGCATATCTACCGGATGAAATGAACTATGTGGTACCGATAGAGAGAAATATATGAAGTCGCTTCAGTGACCTTCACTGAATACAGTGTTCTGAGAACAGTTGCTACCCTCATATAGAACCTAGCTTGTTGTGATTACAGTTTTTCAACCAGGTCCGGTTAAATTCAAGTTTCTGAGTTGTCCGTCGGAACTGCCTTAGCGTTATTTAGAAATTTATCATATGTTATTACTGGATTGTCGGTCAACATTTATTTTCGTGTTTATCATACTTAGTTTCACACTTACCCAATGCAGACGTGACTTGGAACTATGATGCGCCCAATATCCCTTATGAATTAATTGGGATGTTTAAATAAATAATCGGGAGTTGAACAAAGCATTGAACGAAGTTTGTATAGGGCTGGTTTTAGTACGTCACATCTCAAATACCAGAATCACTAAAGGTAGTCTATATGTTGTTGAGCACTTTCAAGGGACGGTGAGGTGAAGGAATGTAAAGTTAGATCATGAATGAACAGATTATTTGGATATAAAAGGGAGTTAGTGAGTACAAAGTATACTGGTCTAATAAAAACCTGGTAAAATTGAATTAACTCAAGAATGCTGTAGTGGTAAACAAATCTTCAAAATCAAAAGCTTTGTAAGTCCTCTACACTTGATGCTGACCAAATTAGTTTTAACGGATTCACTTAGCCAAAAGCTCTTCAAATGGTTGTGCACAAAATGGAAGAAGCTTTCGCTTAATGGACCTCCGAGTCTAGTGGCAGTGGATCAACAATACCTCCAGGTAGGAGTTAGGTATATTAACTATAAAAGAGGAAAAAGAAATGAAAGTTGGTAAATGGTAGCAAGATCTTGTCCTTAGTCCTTCAGAATATGTCAAGTTTCTTCTAAAAGGACTCCTGCAAAGTCGCTTGGACTAGCAGCGAATTACAGCATTTGACTTCTCTCAAGGAGTAGAAGTTGCGTCTACATTCCGTTCTGCTGTGTTGTGGCTCCAGTTTCTTGGTGTTATTTCTAAGTCTTGTGTTGAAACCAAGCCTAAGTAGGTGTTTAAGGGAATGTGTAGAAGTGTTGAGGATGCTGTAAGCCTTAAGAAGGCAACCGCTGAGATGTCTGTACTCCAATGGTTAAGGTTCAGTGATTGGAGGGAGTCTTCATAAGACATCATTTTGGGTCCCCGAACTGATCTCGTGGCTCGTCGTTGAATACGTTCCACAGTGTCCTTATTCTTTTGGTCACACATCCACACTTGATCACGAGTGGGATCACCGTGCCAAGCATCCCTTTCAACTACTAGCCAGCTTATACCAAATGTTCATTCGACTAATTGATAGCCTTCCAAATATATCTTCGAACTCCTTCATTCACGACTTCTGGTTTGACTAGGATGGCATACTTCGGTTATAAAGGTGTTACTGGTTAAGACGTTGTCAAACTCGGAATAGTTGTGACATCTTCAATACTCATTCGTGCTTCTTTAGAATGATCTCATATTACAAAGTCATCTAACTTACGCTAGTGATGTTGAAGTATGTGAATATATTTATAATGCTAAAATTCAGGTGACGTTATAAATCAACCTAGATTTATCCATTGAAAAATGGAATAGACGGTCTTCTGAATTGAGTATTCGAAAATCTAGCACAGTGGCAGTTCGTCAATACAGTGACCATCTAGCCCACTAAGTGATAAGTGGAACAAAGTTACTGAGGTTCATCATCGATCATGTAATCGAAATCGTGGCTAACTGCAAACTAAAATCTATTAACGTATTTAGGCTTTTATAGCCACCTTGCGAAATCCTCAGAAACACATTTTGATTTTTGAGAAAAACCCTGGTCGTGTGATTAATATAAGATTTGAGCATTGATTCCCTGAATAAATTTATGTACAAAGTCGAAGGCGGTCAATCGAGTTTCTAATCCTCATTCAGTTGTAAATAGCTTTCCAAGATTATTATCTGTAAATGCATGGTCATTCACTATAGTCGTATCTCAGCATAGCCTATGTTTTACTCTTTCCGACCTTTCTGTAGTCAGCTTAGAAGTCTAACGTTCCTCTTTGCCAACCAACGTTCCGGAAGGGAAGCGGAAAAGAGGAAGGCCAAAGAACACATTACGCCGGGAAGTAGAAGCAGGTATGAAAAGCATGAATAACATCTGTCAAGAAATGTAAAGGATTACGCAGGACAGGGTTGGATGGAGAATGCTGGCGGGTGGCCTATGCTCCTTTATGTGGGGTAACAGGCGTAAGTAAGTAATGTTATAATCAAGAGACACCCACTCACCTTGAAGCTAACTAACAAGATTACAATAATCAGAAATAATGACATAGTTGCTCATTGACACAGGTAGACATGTTTGAGAGTCTAAGAGTGGTTTCTAGAGAGATGAGATTGTAGAAATATGATTGATATGGCTGACATTGTCAGCGGTTAATTAAGTCCTTAATGAACATGTTTTATCAATAGTCATCGCTACTGAGTGTCTTTCGGATTGCGTCTAAATGTGTTTCACACATCTTAGTCACCAAAATCCTCAAGAAATCATTCGGCGAGACTATAAGTTGTGGAGAACTTTTAGGCAACGCTTAAATGACTTTTAGAGTGTCCAACACCTGGGAGAAAATGAAGTTTATAAACCAGTGTGAGGAATTTGAATTTTGATATACAGTTGGTGGTTAAGGTTTCCAAAAAGAACTGACATCAGATGAAATGCAAAAATACTATCTAGCCAAACGTGCAAGTGAATTTTGCCCGAAAATAAAAAAACCTGTTATATGTGACTGGTTATACTACATTTTAAAGTCTCACCTTAGTAGTACACACATAAACAGTTTAATCTTGTATTTAGCTGTAAAAACGTACCGAATCTAAACATTTTGATCCTAGAGCATAGAAGGATAAGAATTTCCACTTCAAAGCATTGTTTTTGAATTTTTTTGTATTTCCCATAACTTCTGGATGGCCTTCAGTGTTGTCATGGTACTTTTGAAGTTGTATAAAAATTCGTTTGACGACACTCGTCATTATGATGGTTGGTAAGTAAATAGTGATTAGATGAGTAATCAAGAGCTTAACATATTGTACTGTGGTAACTAATGTTTGAAACTATGTGACATTACTTCAAAATTTTGAGCTACCGCGCAATGGTTGACTGTAAGTTTGGCTATATTCGATGAGTCTCTTCAGTGAGATGTCCTGACTACATGAATTACTTGCGTCGAGTATACAGTCTACAGGGAGAAACGAATAACCATAACAAAGAGGTACGTGCGAAGTTATGGAATTCTTTATGGTGTTATACTCCCGTCAAACACTTCACAGTATTCTTTGAGCTAAATGCCTAAACCTTCCTGTTTAGACTTGAATTTTACTCACATGTTTTCCAGTATCTAGAATCCGAGTGTCTGAAGCTTAGCAATAATTTTCATAACTGAGTTCATGAATGTCCATTGTTAAATTTGATGTATTGAACTTTGTTTTCGTAGTAAGTTTGCTGATTGACGATAAATCCTGTGAATATTTATGGACTATCATCATTTTCATCGTGCCTATTTAAGGTTTCACATAGTGTTACATATTTTAGTCTGCAGCGTTCCGGGAAATCGAAATGGTATCATTTTGTATCATTTTACGTTCTGTCGAAGTAAGTAATGTAGGCGGGGATTCCCGCCTACATTATGTCATAAGGTCTGTCCGTTTATGTTTAGTCGTTAGTTGGAAACCACACTTTTCACACCGGGTTCTGCGAGGTCTTTTGAAGCGTGGAACACATTCACAACCTACTTGGGTAGTGCAGCCCCACTAAGTAAATCACCTCATGTTTGTGCGCCCGAAAAGTATCCCACCTCCCACATAGACCTAATGTTTTGTGTGGCGCATATATATATTGCCTTCTTGTACCAATGTTTGTGCTTTTAGACAAATAGAATGAGATTCCACGACAATATATGGTTTTTTATAGCATATGTGTTTTGTAGGACTTATTAATACGTTTTCGTTTTGTTAAATGCAGGAAATAGATCCAAACTCAATGTCAGGTGAAATGGCAGAATCATCTGATTATACTAAAGAGGCACTTGAGTCGTTTAAACGGAAATTATCTACATACATAGAAGCTGTGGATAAAAGTTGTAAGTTAAGAGATAGCATAATAAATACCTTTACAGTGGTTAGTGCAGCTGAAGAGTCTCTGAATTTTGACTTCCATGAAAAGCTACCGTTGGGCACTCATTGAAAGTCAATGCGGACAAGACACCTAGATGTTTATGTATTAGCCCTTTTTTCTGTGGACTGTGTTTTACGAGACAGTATTGTACATAGTTTGCATTTACTAAAGACGTAGATCGTATACTAGATTAAAAATAAAAATTTTCAGTTTAAATGTCTTTTCAGTAACATTATAGCCTATGTATTTCTTAATCCTGCATTAAGTGGAAATCTGATATTTTAAACTCATGATATGCTTATCCGTACCTTGTGAAATAGCGGTTTTCTTAGCACTAAAGTCGTCTTGATATGTTCCGTCATTCTCGCTTTTCGTAATAATCCAACCGAGCCACACCGTATCTCAGAGTCTTGGGATGCTTAGTGGTTCGAATAGAGTCATTCAGTCAGTCATATTGAACATAAAGTCTATTCCAAACATTTGTTGATCTAAGTTTCTATGCCTCGTTACCACAGCAAGATAAAGTCAGTGAAAAATCTAGTGGGTGGTAAGGATAAAGACAGTTTCTGTGGTTTTATCAGTAGTTGGACTGTGATGAAAGTTATAAACATTCTGGTAAGGAGCATTTATAGGAAATTAATTGGTCTTAGATATTTAAAGCGCTGATCGAATCGCCACTAAACTGCCCACATATATATGCTTTGTTTTCAGTAGTGTACCATCTCACTGGGTTGACAGTATGTTCAACTCGAGGCGAAATCTTGGAATGAACGTTTTTTATGGCTTTCACATCACATGTAAAACAAGAGCGATCATCTTATTAAGTCTACACATTTTCATCAGTAAAGCTAGGCAAGGTGATCCGATTATAGAATTAAACTATTTGGTTTTATTAGTGATGGCCAATTTTTTCCGTTACTCAACCTTATAGTAATGTATTATGAGACTTACCTAAGATGGGTTGTGTCATATATCAAGATTTAATCATAAACACTTGAATCTGACTATTGTTTTAGATTAGTGATTCACTTTTCACTCCACTGTTCTTAGATCTAATTATGAACAAATGTTTATCGTTCAATGCCTATAGCACATTTCAACAAAGTTACATCTTGATACCCCTAATGATGTTCACTTATGGGTCAAATTTTCATGTATACAGCCATAGTTGTAATCCTAATATCTGATTCATATAGATGCATCAAGATTGGGATATAAAAAGTTTAGTCCAATTCATTAATAGGGTTATAAAAGTTCTGATGTTTTTAATGGTATTTAAAATCTAAAAATGTCCAAAGAAAGACCAGATTTGATGGTTTTAAAAAAATTGGGCATTGGTTAAGTGGTATTTACGATTATTAGGAATTTGTATTTCACATTAAGGAAGAAATCTCGTTTTTCTACTCATTCAGAAACAAGGTTTTAATAATAATGAGTATACAAAATCATCTCTGCCTCTTTTACATGCGATCGTTTGACTACCAACAGAGTCCTAAACATACTTAGATATGTTGTTTCGCATATAATGACTTTTTTATGAATTAGGATTTTAAGCGGAAGACAAGGGAGTTGTGCCTTTCAATTGTTACCTGTTCTTGCATGGACACTTCCGCACTATTGCGACATTTTTAACCACGGGACTATTCAAGTATAATATTCGTCTTTTTTAAAATGAACTCCAAAAGAGGCCAACAAAAGTGTTTTTGTATTTGTAACGGTAACAAAACTTGTCTCTGCAAGCATTTTTGAGGTTTACCTTTAGTGAACACAAATACCAGCAAAGAATAATTATAATTTACCTCTAAATATCAGTAGTGAGGAAAAACAGACCATTACGAGTGATGACATCATCTTGTGCAAATGTGTGGCAACTTGAGCTAACACATATCTGTACCAGACTATATGTTCATGATGACTGACGAATTATGCACGTCATACCTGTTGAACAGGTTAGTGGCTATCCGGGCTCAATATAACGTTTTAGTATTTGAAGCCATAGGTGCTGATTCAGTGTGAACATTAATACTAGGATGCAAGTACACAAACTTGACAAGTCCTAGGTAAGGCGAAACGCTCATTGTGAATCTCAATGCTAGCCATAATCCAAAAAAGATATTTCATTTGAAGTGTCGGAGAACAGATATAGGAGGTTGGCCGCACTGAATAATTGACGTTTATATTCACTAAACTGAATACCTGTAAAAACGAAATAATCGGCTGTTGATGTGTATGTTTATTTCTAGTTAAATCTAAAATAGGGAGTTATAATGTTTCTGTTATTGATAAGATATTTAGGTATATTTTGCAATTAGTTTTCAGGTTTGAACTGTAGGAATGAAAATGATAAACGTTTAGAATTTTGTAAGTGGCTATTAGGTAGGGTGAAGCTGTCGCATGTCTCATGGAAGATATAGAACTGTCTTTGAGAGAATTAGGTATCAACTTAAGATAGACTCAAGAGTATGATAGTATTGTTGGATTCGTATGAAAGCAAATACTTAAGCCAGGTAGGTTATAGTAACACACGTTTTACGTTATTATTTACTAATATGTAATTCTAGTTTTATTTCTCACGGGAAATCAGGTGTTTTAACCTCTAAGCTACTATAATCTCAACAGTTGGATGCTGTTTTTGTTTGGTTATCTTCAAGGAAAATAAAAATATATTTTAGCTACTGACCGAGGCAATATTCCGTGGTACTAACATAATCAGAACTGTATCATCTAAGCCCAAGATTTTGTTAATTATTACATATAATGAAGAAAGTAGACAGTACTTAGTGTCAGGTGCCTGAAGTTGCTTAGGGTTCATCAATGTTTTTGCTATAGAATAGAGTGTTTATAAATTTTAACATTTACATCTTTATCAATCAGTTATGAATTAAGTTTTGAAGTTGATACTCATCTGAAAATAACAATGATCATTGTGTACCATACTGACATACTACGGCCTCTAATTTTTTTCCCAACGTTATTTATTGGGTTTTTCGATCGCTTCAAAATACCAATGATAGTATTGGTTTTACTGTTTTACATGCCATGCGGCTATGAAAATTAGCTTTTGGTTGTGATTGTTGAAAATATTATCACTACACTTCGAAATGGTAAAACCAAATTTAATTGCATATGTATCTAGCAACTACATATAATCAACAAGACTCTGTTTTGTCCAACTGGCGCCTTTTTATGACTTACAATTTATTATGGATGAGCGCATAAGTTGAATCTCTAAATGGCTTATTGATATTTATCATGTCACTTACAACTCTTAAGGGGTTTCAACATATGCTTTTCATATATACTTCATTTTATATGTTTTTTTCGTAGTTAGTAGTGATTTATGATTTTTCTTTTTATATTTTTGTGTTTCTACCGATAATAAATAACCTAATCACAGATGAAAGCTGGATATGGTGAGTTACTTTTTTATGTATTACCAAAATCTTTGTATTGATTGTCTTCTTTACCTTTTATAGTTCCTTTTTTCACTGTGATTTTGTGGCGACTTAGGACTACTCCCTGAGTGATCGTATTAATGGCTGTTACAACGGTTGTTCTACACTAAAAAAACATACATAAGATAACAGAGTTTTATTAGACTTTGAGACCATTTGGCAACGAACGACAAATGTGTTCATGAGCTGGGACTTTTCCACTTTATGGAATTGATTCCATCCTTTGCCAAGCAAGGAGCGTGTATACTACACGGCTGTCCATTCTTTTCTAATTTACGGCTGCGAAACAGACTTTGAGAGCAAGAGACATGTATTGGTTGCACGTTTTTTATAAGTTTTTTCGATGCGTTGCTCGCGTTTTGTTGAAAAATCGGGTGGTCATTGTTGGGATCGAGGTAGATAGAGCATGTGATACTAATCCCTAACCATGTCCTATCTTAGCAAGATATGCTTACTGGTGTTAAAGTAGGTTAGGGAAAAGCTAGGTATGGGCAAACCATGACATTAAATCAGTCCATGAAGCCGTTCACTGTTGATCTGAACCTTTTTGGTGATTTCAGACTATCTGATTAGTATTTGCGTGATAACCACAATCCATGCTTGGAGACTAAGTGATATAGCTTAAAATCATTCATAACAGAGGTTATACATTCACTGTTTATTTTCCTCTAGGTTTTGAGTTCCAGTGTTCATTTATATATACCCTTTTAAATCATATTCTCAATGAGTTTATAGGTATCAGTGCCAAGGTTGGACTTGACAATTTCAAGTAAGTTGAGCGCTGGGTAGAAAGTTAATAATAAGTATATTTTTGTTATATATATATATATATATATATATATATATATATATATGCTCTGAAGAAGTGGCGTACATTAAGTCATAAAACGTCAGAAATACAATTTTTCAACTCATTTGGATATAACAAAAATATACTTATTATATTTTCAATGTTTAATCTTCATCAACATTTCCACCTTGTTATTCCGATCTCTTTTACAATTCATCTTGTTATTTTGACCTCGTCATGCTAATGAGATATGGAAACTTGGGCCAACTCAGATCTTTGCCAGGCTCTGCGTTGATGATGACCAAATGACTGACTTCCCATCTACTGTAAATTGTATTTTAGAGACCTTGTGACGTATATTCATAAGCTAATATTTGTTGTTTCAGATATTATAAGATTATTACATTTCGGGATGGTGAAATTATGGTTTAAAACTATTCAATGTAACTACTCATCCTATATTAGTTTATCCACTTTTCATGTTAAAATTAATTTTATGTATGTATTCATCCTTTTACCTATACTGACCTTATTAAATATTTTTTTTCTTACAGATGAAGAATTACTACTTCATTGTAGATGGTTTGATTGTCATCAATCTTTCCCCAACTATATTCGATTACATGTACATTTCCTTGAATGTCACCTGAATAATGTACCCGAGCTTGTCTGTCTATGGGATTCTTGCCAGAAAAATAATACATTCCAGGAACACAACCAGTTGTTGCGTCATACACTTCTACACACATTTTTTGAAGATTGCATAGTAAATACTAGTAAGCTTCTGAAAGCTCATCATAAGGTTTGGAATTTTGTATGTTGTGGAATAAATTGTCAGAAACCTGCTTATCTTCAACGATCAACGGAAAAATTCTTATGGAATCCTATAATTTTGATTAGAGGTTTTGAATGTCAATGGAAGGACTGTGATTACACGTAATTTGTTCGATTTTTGTATTATTATTTTTGTATTATTTTTGTTTATTAATTGAATTAAATCATCAACCTAATGTTACATACAACAATCAGAGATTATCAGATAATAATAACGTAATACATCGGTTTCAGTGTACTGTACTTAATATCAGTACAAAGAAAGGACACTTAGTGAAGTCCAAAATTTTTGTTTTGTTAAGTGGTTATAATTTCACACTTCCGAAATTTATCGTCAAGTATTGAGGGAAAATTGTTTTTTAAGGGCAAAACAATAAGGAATAGACATTCTTCTAAGTGAAAATTTAGTTTCAGTCGTTTTTTCAGTATCGTCCAGTCTTATTTTAGTACTCTAGTCAATTTTAAGTGTTAGCTGCAATCTCACCAACGTAGAACCTGGGATACATGTGTGTCGGTTTAAGTTGCCACAGTACGTAAGTACAGAGAGATGAAATTACTGTGACAAATTCCAGAATAGAAGTGGTAACCATATCATTGGTAGTAGAACAGGTTAGGTATAGAAAATATCATTCAAGAAAAATGAACAGATTCATCAAATAAAACGTATTTTTAAACGAAAGTGAAAATATCTGGCCATCGGAATCGATTTAAAGCCTTGTCATTCAACATCCTCAACCATTTGGTTACGATAACTGCGCGAAGCCCCGCCAGGTAGTCTACTTTTACTTACACGGTTCAGCTTAACAGTCGGTAATTTCATCATCATCATCATCATCATCATCATCATCATCATCATCATCATCATCATCATCATCATCATCATCATCATCATCATCATCATCATCATCATCATCATCATCATCATCATCATCATCATCATCATCATCATCATCATCATCATCATCATCATCATCATCATCATCATCATCATCATCTCATCATCATCATCATCATCATCATCATCATCATCATCATCATCATCATCATCATCATCATCATCATCATCATCATCATCATCATCATCATCATCATCATCATCATCATCATCATCATCATCATCATCATCATCATCATCATCATCATCATCATCATCATCATCATCATCATCATCATCATCATCATCATCATCATCATCATCATCATCATCATCATCATCATCATCATCATCATCATCATCATCATCATCATCATCATCATCATCATCATCATCATCATCATCATCATCATCATCATCATCATCATCATCATCATCATCATCATCATCATCATCATCATCATCATCATCATCATCATCATCATCATCATCATCATCATCATCATCATCATCATCATCATCATCATCATCATCATCATCATCATCATCATCATCATCACAATATAAAATATAAAATAATATTTGTACAAGATCAAGCCAAGCGTGGCTGTGAATGTGGGAGACAGTGGTCAATAAACTGAGTATAATTCAGGGACAGTAAATCGTACAGTAATAATTCATAGGTCAAAATGGAGCTTATAATAAGATGAATATAGATATACACAATCTAGTTACTCATTAATTAAACCATAAGAATATATATAGAATAATAGTCCATTAATAAGTCCCGAGAGCTACCCTTACTAACTTCTGCACTAGGATATAACAAGTACTTTTACTAAAGTTTTCAGGGTTTTACCGTATTAATGATTCTAAATGTCGGAAATAATCTGTAAACTCATCTTTTTAATAATTTATTTTCCATGATCTGAATTTAGTGCTTTTCTCCTAAATTTCCCATATTATTCGTTTTTCTTTTCCTCTGCTTAGTACGTTATTTCATTATTGTATCACCAAAGGCATTGTCGTAAGACTATAATTTATGAACGAACTAATGAAATGAAAAATAGCAAGCCTTGGACTTCAGCGCGAAATTCATTCGTCCATATAGTTAAGTTGCACTTTGGCGTTATAATTGACGTCAGCTCATTATGAGAACCCTCAGTTTAGTTGATAACCCTAAATTCTAACTCTAAATATTAATCCTAATTTATAGCCCTCTTTTAACCCTAGTAAGTAGGTGAGTTATCCCAAGGTCACTTTAGCGTCGTTCAAAAGTTATCCACAAGTTTTAGTCTCACCGACATTGTAAATATATTTATACACAGCAGTTATACTATGAATAATCTCCTTTTTCATTAGCGGAGTAAATCTCCTCAAAAAAGCTTAACTTCTGTCTCTAGTTAGTAGGCAGGGAATGAGGAGCCTAGAAGTTAGTCTCGTCCATTGTAATTAAAGTCATAGTTGCAAGTTTGTAGCTTAGTACATAGATTTATCATTAGAATGTTACTATTAGTCTATTATATTTTATTATTAAGATTATTTGACATACTATGAAACAAAGTTAATCGTATTAAGACCTCATGTTAACCAATTTATTTAATTTCTTTCTGCTTGGTATGTCTATGTGTATATGAAACCTAATGTCGATTAAACTGCCAATTAAATAATGACCACTAGGCTTTGATCTAGGCCCCCTAGGTCCTATCGATAGATTTTTCAGTGAGATCATTGGACTTATTGGGTCACTCTATCTCATGTTATGTGGTTAAAAGCGATCAACATTAAAACTTGGATTTTAGATTTCAATGTTTGTATGGAGTTGATTGGATACTGCAGTGAGTGAGTGAGTCAGAGGACGGATCACTTGGCGTAACGTCGTCTCTGCGACACAAAATAATATATTTACAAATACTTGAGAAAGCATAAAGTTTCCCGTTAGTGATTGCTTAAAAGTGCGAAACTGTAACCTCGACTTTTTGAATGATTAATTTCAGTTACTTAGCAGGACATTATTATCTACCTTCATTCCCCTATTGGTTGTTCTTTATTATGTAGTACGGATTCAGCATATCTATTCAGCGAGCATGTTAAGGAACATGATTTTCCATATGGTGATGATAACAATAATAATGATTGTGACGATGAAGATAATAATAGTAATACTAAACTAACTTGTTTATGGCAATCATTGAGTGAAGATTCATCGACCATCTCAAATCAGTCTATATGTGGTTCTATAAGCGGATGTCGTTCACATTTTCATCGTCATGTACGTCGTCACACTGGATTACCACGTTACATCTGTTCTAAATGTTTTGTGTGTTTTACAGAAGTTGTTAATTTCAAGGAGCATTTTACATGGAGTTTAGTTAAAGATTATCAGAATGTAGTCAAATTCAATGGGACAGGTATTTTCATTTTACGACTAAACATTTATTATGTTAAACTTTAATGTTTAAGTATTAGTTAATGATTCGTCTCCACAATATTATCTTTCATCCAACTAACCAGTGTATTTGGATATTTGTGAGGACAAAATTCGACTAAATATATACAGAAGTTTTAGATAATTGTCAATCAGAATACTAGATGAACAAAGAAATATTCGTTTCCAATTAGTCACTCATCAAGGCTCTACTCTAATATGTAGGCTTTACGATTACTTATGACATCAACATGGTAAACGGTTAGTAACAAAATGATTGCAAAACTTGGATTAAAACTAAGGTGAAATTCCACAATCACTTAATTATCACAACCAGTTATATAAGTAATTGAAATTGGATGTAAATAGAAATGTGTTATGTTATCTGTCAGATTAATAGTAAGATCAATTAGTAAAAGATAATGAATTGAAAATTAGACAATTTGATTAATGAACACATTATGTAAGATTAAAATTTACTTACATCAAAATGTTCCAAAAATTTCAAATAATTTTATGAAAGGTAATAGTAACTAAATAGAAGAAAGCCAGAGTAAGTTAAGAGACTGTGTAACCTTTTTCTGTATACAGGGATTAGATTTATTGATATTTATTTCTATGGTTTTTGTCGCATATAACGATCCGAATTCTAAAATCATGATCGGTTGACTAAACTACAAGAGAACAACTATAAGAAGCTCTGTTTCGACACATCTAGTTGGTACCACATCGATGGAAATTCAGCTTTTGAAGCAAACTGTAGGATTTCATCGAAGCACTGTTCTTTAGTATGCCGACTGGGACTTCATAACAAAAACTTAGAGACCTAGTAACGATTTAATCAGGGAAAGCAAATCAATGGTCATATTTTTTTTCGTTTCAGATGACGATAGTACTGATTGTCCAGTATCATTGAAATTAATCGATGAATCTTCACCTTTCCCAAAACATCTTGAAGGTACAACTCTATTTCAATGCCCAACATGTATAAAAGTTTTTATTACTAAAGAAGGTTGGACTTCTCATATACGTGAATGTTCGAAATCATTAAACAAAGAGACTACTGTTAACACTAAGAAACTGGATTGTATTTCACTTTCCCGTAAACATGTTTCTAAACCATATTTTAGAATAGCTTCGAATAATAAATTATCAGAAGAAAACTATGAATTTTATTGTCAAATTCAAGGTTGTTCTTATCAATCTACAAAACTATCCGCTTATCGTGCTCATTATAGACGCTATCATCTAAGTAGTAACCCTGATGGTTTATGGTATTCTTGTCATCTTTGTTCTTCTTATCGAGCGCGTAAACCATTTACAATTTCACATCATTTAAAATCGGTGCATTCATTGAAACCGCCTGATGGACGTTCACGTTTCACATACTCTTTTGATGAGTGTAGTCAAACTTATCAATTAACTGGGAAACCACCAGCTCCATGTACTGTTCGAGCAATACGAAAATTAGCACCGAAACTTGTTGTGAAACAGTAAGAAACAGAAAAGAATCTAAAACATTTGACTTTACTATTATGATTATCGTCTTTTTTACTTTTGTTTTGTACAAAATGATAATTAAATAAAACAAGATACTTTGTCAATACAACTATTTTTTTCATCATAAGAGGCTTGTGGCTGTTGCTGAGTTTCAAAGTGTACCATAAACTGACTTCAGACAACTACTGGAAACCATGAAGCACCGGAGAGCTATTTCGTCCAACAGTGCTTTTTCACGGTCCCATCGGGAATCAGACCCAGGACCTTCAGGTATCATGGTCAGTACTTAGTCTTCAAACAACTGATCCAAGACTCAATGATGTTTATGTCTATCTTCAATTAATAGAAATTTCTATTATAGATAAAAGCAGCTTTTCAGTGCTTACTGGTTTTCATTAATTGTTCAACTGAGAGCAATCTATGAATTGAATTTTGATTTTCCTTTTTTAGTTGTCTATTTACTGATAAGAATTGTTGGTACGTCAATAGGTTTCGTCTTTCTGTTTCTTTGGTAGTTATAATAGTAGTTGGTATAATTATCATTAAAGGGACTAGCTAACACTAATACTAATATCCATTTTCATTTATCTGTACGTCTGATGAATACATAATTAAAAAAAACTATTTGGTTGTTGAGGAAGAACTAAAGATAATTCAGCGGAGAAAATTCTCTTTTCGATGACATCCTCTATTGAAGATGTAAAAATTCATTTATAGTCGTTTAACAAACAAATTAGTTTATAGGATGGTAAAAAGAGTTTACGTCATAAAGCGTCTAAAGATTTCAATTATCATAAAAAGGTTTCAAAATGATCTTGTGTTTAAAGAGACATAGCATGATGAAAATAATTTACGGATCAGAAATTCTAGATATAACTGTTCACTTGATAAATATAAAGACGAATTAAAGGAAGCATGGAGTTGATAACAAAGTCTGACTAGTTATAAATATTTGCGCCTGGAATCGGAAATAGACATCAAAAGGATCATTAGCAACTGGAAATGATTACCCAGGATAGAGTTCGGTGAAAATGTTGGTGGGCGGTCTCTGCTACTCCACGAGGGGTAACAGTCGTTTGTAAGTTATAAATATATCATTCAAAACACTAGACATCACAAACAAATCATTCGAATACATAAGAGGTGAACTCCATTCAAAGGATATTTTTCTTTATAAAAACTGTTGGTTAGTAATAATAATCAGCGGTTTGATTCCTGCATATATCTGTACATCTCTCACGCATTCTGCATTAAGCTTTTTTGAATATTAGTGATATATTACTATAGATATTCTAATCCTTCAATTGCTTTAAAGGTCGTTTTTTACCCGTTACTTTCACATAATTTCAGGCTCTCCATAGTAATAACAATAATATAGGTACCACTGGTCCACTAGCACCGGACCTTGATGAAATTATTGGCGATTCAGATGAGGAAAATCAATCTGATGAAGAATTACTTACATCTGCTGAATTACTGAAACGTTTTTATAAGGTTTGTTTTATGCGTTTTAACTTGGTGTTCTGCCTAAGTAAGTGCTGACATACTTTTTGATTTTGCATAGTTTTATTTTACATGATTTAATTCAGTAATCTTATAAGTAGTAAAAAAACAGTGCCACTTTACGCATCATATTAGCAAACAATCTTATAGAAAGTGCTTCAGACATCTGTGACGTATTTGTAGCATCATACCATCGTTCTCACCTGACTCCAATTTAAGAATAATTGATTACATTTCAAGCAAATTTGTGGTAATACATCTTCAGTGTAAATATTCAAGTCTTCAAAAAGAATATGAGTCACGAAAAATATGCATGCTATTAGATTACTGTATCCCAGCTAACACCTTCCAGATAATCTTCAACTCTATTGAACTTAAAGATCATGCTGTCCTAGATCTGATGTGTTTTATTGTCTTTAGACGATTGGCATATCTCTCGAGGATTTTATATTTTGTTTTCGTTTACCATCATTTGTATGGTGGAATCGCAAAGCTGAAATTACTTCGGTTAAGATTATTCAGCCTCAGCTCGAATAGAAGTTTTGTTCTGATAATTCTGTATACTATTGATTATCTGTTTGAAGTAGACACTAACAAGTGTAGCGATGACTTATTGGTTAAAGCATTCGAATTTCGGGCACTAAGTTCCTGATTCGAAATCGGCTTTACCTACATCGGTTTAGGTAACCAAGCAGTATCATTAGCCCTCATACCTATTGTGATTCATACCCAGGTATATGGTGAATAATTTAGACGCTAATAATGTCCAGAACGATAGTCAAGGCTGTGTAGCTAAATAATCCAGCTCAGGGAACACAACACCACTAAAAGCAACTACTTGTACTCGCCACACTTCTTTATTATCTCAAAAAGCAGTTTGTTTTTTTCTTGAAAATCACCCAATCTTTATTTTTAATTTTTGCATTTTATTTTTTTAACGCATCACAATAGATATGGCAAAATGAAAAACTTGCCCCTGTACTATTAACTGCACACTCTGACCTGTTAGGTCTTATTCAAGCTGAAGTTAATCAATTAGAAGCTGAAGCCAAAACTTTACCAGCTGGTGATTTGAAAGCTCAAATTAAACGAATTCAAGTAAGCAGCGAATGGATAATTTATGAAGAAAGAGTAAAGATATTAGTGATAAGTTAATTACGTCATTTGGGCTAATACATAAAAATAGAGTAAAATATGTTACAATAACAGTACATGTGAGTAAGGTATTTTCTTATGTATAGAAAAAAACAAGAATGTGGTGAACATAAGGATTGTTTGCCAGAGTAACGTTTAACATAATAAGATAGACGTATCGAGTTACTTCAATTGATTTTCAGTCATATTACTTAGTCTTGGACCACAGATTTCGGCCGTCTGATAAATTCTACCCAGAAAGCTTAGAATTTTCTTAAAATGTATCGGCAGTATGATATTACTATAACTTCGTGGACATTCTCATATTCTTTCTACTTTAGTTATCATGACAGTGAAATTAATGGTAGTGGGGTCCGGGATGTAGCATAATATTCATTTGCTATAAGTTACCAAAATCATGCACTACTTCACTTTTTATTTAACGTAATCATTATTTCTTCGATTCCTTTGTTCTCGTACAGTGTTTCATTAGTGATTTGTGAATATGATAACAGTATTAGTAGACAATCATGTATTACCCTCCCTCTTCTTTTCATTTTTTTCTTGGTAACAGGTTGAAAGAATCCGATTTATCATGGTCGATTACATGCGTATTCGGATGAAAAAGGTAACGTGGAGAGTGATTCCGTGTTTGATTATTTTGAAAAGTCAGTTGTTTTAATGATTCGTCTTCATAAAATGATGTCATATTAATACGGTTTGTCGTGTGTTTTCGTGATTGTCTCTGGTCATGTATTTACGCTATAGCTAAAAAAAGTCTGGAGTTTTCATCCACCCATTTTATAATTCAAATCCTAATGTTTTCATGTTAGTAATCTGTAATGAACCGAAATTCTGTATTCCTGACAATAACCTGTAATGTTCCCGTATTATCTGTTTAAATGTTTTAATATGGTAATTTGTTGAATACTTACCAAGATCATTGATAAATGGTATGCATAAAATGGTTGTATTATGCTTTCACCTTTTTAGTAAATAGTTGTAGCTCTCCTATAAAAAATCTTGCCTCCCCTTTTCTTATTGCGTTCGTTGATATAAATGCGTTTGCATTGTCTTGCTAGTGGAACAATGTCATATATTGTACACGTAAAATTTATATGGTAACGTCCAATTCTTAAACTTCTGTGTTATTACTAAAGTTTTACACTTTACTGGTCTAATTAGTCAGTCATAAGCTACGTAGAAGCTGATGTATATATTCATCGGGTCAAGTTTCCACCTTTTGTTAGCACAGCAAGGTAAAATTATCAAAACAAATACAATAATAGAAGTAATATCCGTAACAATTGAAGAAATTAGACATAGACGAAATGATTTGAGAAGAAAAAGTTAATTCATTGAATAAAATGCATAATATAATTTTCATGCTCAAAATCTACAAAAAGACAAAAAGTGAATATGTCTGGGTTATTGCAACTGATTCTGAGTCATATTATCTAACGCCTTCAAACAATGATTACAATAATCGCGAGAACTTCAACCTTAAAGTGTGCATGTATTACTCACTAATTAATCAAACATACCATGTGAATGATATAGATTTTATCAACAAAACAACAGGTAAATATAAGATGTCTTATAGGTCACAGTCTAAATCATTTTATGCACCTGATATATTTGTGCGTTCTTTCAAAGATCTGTTTAATCGTATTAATTATAAAATCAACTGACACAATACAATATTATCTATTTGAAATGGAAATCAATTTAGCCTTGTACATATCAGTTAAACCATATTATTACCAACTTCAATTCTTTCCAAGTACATTTTTGAGGTTTACTCTCTATTTTCTTAGAACTAATAAGTATGTAAACATTTGTTGATGTATAAATGTCCTCGAAGAAACGTAGTTATCAAATTTAGATTTGTTCATTAAATTATGAATGATAGTTTTTGACTTATCGAATCTTTACTAATAAAAGACATCTTAGACTTGTATACCACCTAGTGATTGGTAGTCAACCACTCAATGCAATGAATTATATCCTGATTATCATAAATTATGTACAAAGTAATAAGACGTAAAAGGGTTTTTTAAATATGAACAGTATTTACTGTATGAAATGTACATTACCTTATAACATAAAGCAAATTTTTAATAATCATATTATATGCAACCATTGAACAAGAAAACCTTTCAACATGCTTTTAAACTTGTTATTCGGCATTCATTTATGTTTATTCTTATATTATTTCGATTTAATAGATTGAACGATTTGCTGAACATATTTTAGCTGAAGAACGTTCGCGTAATTCAAATGAATCACCACATTTGACAGTGGAAGAATATCTTTTTGCAAAATCGTAAATTTTCAGTGATTTTCTGTTTTTTTTTTTTTGTTGTTGTCAGAATGAAAGAATCAGTTAACTGTTTAGCATTATTTTAGATATTCAAATAGTATTCGAGAATATTTGAAAACTACAATTATTAATCGTTTACCAGCTAATATGCAGTCTATTAAAGACGAAGAGTTAAGTAAGTTTATAATGCTTTTTACGAATCATTATACAGTTGTAACTTGGTACTATATTTTACAATTGATACTCCGAAATTTTGCAAATTAGTAATTAGAGTTTTTGTCTTAAATACTGATAGCATTTCATTAATTATGTAGCTTGATTAATATATATGGCCTAACCACACTTACTAGTAGAGCTTTACAATTCTGTAGGCTCTTTATCTTCATCTAACTTCAAAGCTGAGTAGTGAGTATTTTTGCAGTCGATATTTGTAGCATCGGATTTATTTATTTATTGTTGCTTATGTATTGACAATATATCGGCTTTAATTAGTAAAGCTTATATTTTACTGATTCCGGGGATTTGAACATGAAACTTTCTCCTTTTTATACTCAAGTTCTCCAACGTCTATCGTAGTTATGGTAGCCACATAATATGCCTAACCATTATGTTCTGTGATTGTCAGATTTTGGTATTGGTATAAACACTTTCTGTATGACAATCACAACCAGCTACCTAAATGAAAAAAATCAAATTGAAAGCGTCAATTGAAAATATGTGCACAACTCATAAAAATCTCTATTTCCTTCAGAAAATTAAACTACATTTTAAACAATCCTCCCTGGCTTTTTCCTCAGTGTCAATCCAGGTCTTTGACAAAAGTGTGCACATGTCAGCATCTTTCGCTTATCTTCTGGTTAATATCTGATTGGCCTAGCGTTCTACTCACTGCTTCATATCTTGTGTACAACAAAACTCCTATTATTTCACAGTAAGCTTATCACTAGTTATATTCAACAATGGTACTTAAATGTATTTATTTTTCAGCGTACAGCAGTTGCATAACTCTTCTGTTTAACTTTGTTTGAATTCCTTAATGTGTTATTGTTTAAGCCATATGCTTGTTGTTGGGATTTAATTGTCAACCAAAATATATTCACTCTTATTTTTTTAAGCATTTCATCCAAACCCAAACAGTTATGTATTTTGTCAGTCACTGAAAAAAATTGATTATATAGAAGTATTCGATCATAGTTCAGATGGAACTCAAACGTAAGTTATATTCCAAATTCAGTTTATAAAAATATCTAGAAATTAAAATTCGACCGATATCAGCTTATTTTTATGGTACCGAATCGGCGAGTAAAAACATCGATTTCATATAATGCTTGTTAAGTTAATGTTTTCTTCTTGGTTACAGCTCGGTATCACTTACCTTGGAACCTGGCGCTCAACATCTCTTACCCTACAGTTGCATTCGACCGTATGTAGAAGGTGGCGATGTAATTTTAATCTAATACCAAACTGAGTTGAGTTCTCACGATTAGATTCTATTTTTCTAGCAACTGTTTTTGTTTGACGGGTTTGTGTTTAAAGTGTTTTTTGTACTAAGATCTACTATAATTTATGCACTGCAGTTTCTTATGTTTTTTTAGGACGGAAAATATGAAGGATAATTTGACCTTTGATGACATATATCCGAATACAGCTGGTGAGGATTGAATATGTTCACTAATGTCATTCACATAATCTGTGAAAACAATACATTGCTTTCGCAACTGGTAGTAGGTAAACTGTATAGAATAGTTATCTTACTAGACAGTTTTGAAGAGTCCTTCCAGGTCGTAATAATGTCCATTTTTAAAAAAGATGTACACTGAAGTACCTGACAATTCTCCATAGAGTAGGAGGTTAAGGACAGTACTATTCGGAACCTAGTATTGGATATCAATAATGATTTTATAGGAGAAATAATTGGGTATTGAGCTTTCATTATAGCGTTGAATAGCATAACAATAAACAAGCTCAGTTCAGGTGGGAGAGATCACCCCTAAGAGCTAAGCTACAGTCGAGCGTGAGAACAGTTTAGTCTTCCTAGCTGTGCTTTTTTAAGGCAACGCGTTTATAAACAATTCTAGAGACGTTCTTATGCGCATGAGATGATGAAAGACGAATGACTAGCATTTATACTGGGCTTGTGGATACGGTGGATAAACGTATGTAATAGGGAATTCCTGATTCCAGACTAGTAGTGCGCACAGGTTTAGTGATTATGACGAGTCGAGTAGCATGTGAAATTTCTGTGCAAAAAGGCTTGTCATGAACTTACTACTTCTGAGTTGCCACATTGCTTTAAGGAGTAGACCTCTGGATTGTAGACTTTCTACTTGATTACGTCGGTATGTAGACCACCCACCAGCGTTCTCTATCGAACTCTGTTCTGAACAATCCAGCTGTTTTCAGATGCTATTCATACTTTTGGTACCTGCTTCCAATTCCCGACGCAATGTGTTCTTTGGTCCTCCTCTTTTCCGTTTCCCTTCGGAATTCCAAGTTAGGGCTTACCTCGTGATGCGGTTTGGTGATTTCCTTAATGTATGTCCTATCCACTTCCAACGTCTTTTCCTAATCTTCTCTTCAGATGGAAACCGGTTTGTTCTCTCTCACAGTAGGCTGATGCTGATAGTATCCGACCAACACACATTCAGTATCTTTTGTAGATAGCTGTTTGTAAATACCTCTAGTTTTTAGATGATGATTGTGGTAGTTCTCGAGATTTCATCTTCTTACGGTAGAGCTGTTTTGACGTTCGTATTGAAGATTCTGACTTTGATGTTGGTTGATAGTTGTTTTGAGTCTCATATGTTTTCGAACTGTGGGAATGCTGCCCTTACTTTTCTAAACCTTACCTTTACGTCTGCATCGGATGCTCCTTGTTCATCGATGATGCTGACCAGGTACATGAGAGATTCCATCCACGTTTTCCCGAGCTTCTCTATCAAGTGTGATTGAGCTGGTGTTCTCCATGTTGTATTTGAGGCCTACTGATAGAGAGGCTTCTTCTACGCTGACTGTCTTTACTTGCATTTACTAGTGTGTATGAAATAGAATGGCTAGGATATTTGTGGAGTCCAAATCGTCTAAGGTGGGAGTAAGCAGCCTTGTCTAACACCCGTCTTTACTTGGAATGCGTCTGTCAGCTGTCCGCCATTCACGACTTTGCAGTGTAGTCCGTCGTATGAATCCCGGATGACGTTGAAAAATTTCTGAGGTACACCATAATCCTGAAAAAGGTTCTCTTACCCACACTGTCAAATGCTTTCTCATAGTCAAGAAAATTGATGTATAGTAATGAATTCCATCCAATTGATCGCTCAACAATGATCCATGGTGTCGTGATTTGGTCTGTACATAACCGATGCTTACAGGATCCGGTTTATTGAACTCGGAGCTGGATGTCTACCGGATCTTTCATTCGGTTCAGTAATACTCTGTCGAGAACTTTTCCTGGTGCCGACAGCAGTGTGATGCCTCCTTGGTTTTCACATCTCAGGTCTTTCTTGGGTATCTTAACGAGGTTTCCTTCTTTCCATTCTATCGTCACTTGTTCTTCCCCCGAAATCTTCCGGAATAGAACGTGGAGCATGTTTGCAGTTGCTTTTATGTCTGACTTCAGTACTTTTGGCCGGTATGTTTTCACGTCCTGATGCTTTCTCACTCTTGATTTATCTGATGGCTATTCTGATTTCTTCGATCGTTGGTGGAGTAGTGACATCTATACGAAAGTCTGTAGGTGCTGCCTCGATGTCCTATAGATTCAATGGAGCTGGTCTATTCAAGAGTTCCTCAATGTGCTTTGTTCTTGAACCTCTGTGATTGTCATTCTTACTTTTTGCTTGACGGGCTTCTATGGTTTACCATATCTCCCTGCTAGTTTCTTCGTTGTGTCATATGGCCGTCTCATATTTCCTTCTCTTGAAGCTCTTTCCGCCGTCGTTGCTAGGTCTTCCATGTATTTCTGCTTGTCAGTTCTAATGCCCTTCTTCACTTGCTTGTTTGCTACGGTGTGTTCGGCCTGTACCTTGACTTTTCCTATTCTTGTTCAGGTGTTGTTAATCGCTGTCTTCTTGTTCTCTCTTTCTTGAATCTTGTCTAGGGTTTTGATGGACATCCATTCTTTATGGGGATGCTCATTAAGGCTCATAGCCTTCTGAAACGTTAAAGTCAGTACTTCTTTGATCCCTTTCCAGCTGTCCTCCATCGTAGTTTCTTGTTCTTTCAGTAGATCCTGTGAAGCTTGGAACCTGTTGATGAGGGTTCTCTTGAATTCGTTGAGTTTGTTAGTATCTCGAAAGAAGTCTGTATTGAACATTTGTAGTGCTGTTCCCCCAGTTGTAGAATGTTTCTTTAGTTTCAGTTTCATCTTGGCCACAACCAGGTGGTGATCTGAAGCTATGCCAGCTTGTCTCCTGGTTCTCACGTCATCCATTTACCTTCCGAATTTTTTACTGATGCAAGTAAGATCGATCTGATTCTGTGTAGTGTGATCTGGTAAAACCCATGTAGTTTTGTGTATGCGTTTGTGTTGGGATATTGTGCCGCCTATAACCAATTTGTTGAATGCACATATATTTACGAATCTCTCCCCATCTTCATTTCTCTCTCCCAGTCCATGTCGTCCAATCATGTCTTCATATCCTGTGTTGTCCAGTCCGACTTTGGAGTTTAGATCTCTCATCAGGATTGTCAGGTCTTTCCTTGAGCACTTAGCTAAGATTGATTGCAGCCTCGAGTAGAACTGATCTTTATCGTCGTCATTGCTATCATTGGTGGGTGCATAACATTGGGTAACATTCATTGTGATCCCCTCCTTTTTCGTTTTGAATGATGCTTTGATAATTCTGGATCCATGAGATTCCCATCCCACTAGTGCATTTCGCGCTTCTCTGGACAGCAATAGGGCAACTCCGTGAGTGTGTGGAGCATTTTCCTCTTCGTGACCATAGTACAGCAGCATCTCTTCCGTATCTAGCCTTTGATTTCCAGGTTATCTCCAATGGTTTTGACTGATTCCGAACATCTTCAAGTTATATATCCTCATTTCCTTTGCTATTTGACTGGTCCTTCTGGTCTCTCAAATTATCCGAAGGTTCTATGTACCTATATTAATGGTTGCTCTGTCTATTATAATTACACTGGCCTCGTGACTTCCGAAGAATCTTATCTTTCACAATGAGGCGTCATAATATTTATGAATGTAGATCCTTCAACTAGGATAGCAGAGCTTAAATAGTTAAATTTGTTTATTCTGGTTGGCGTTTTTTAGCGATGTGGTTTTCTACGGGATGGGGTTGCAGATCCCATGCCCAACCCTCCTCCTTTACATGGGTTGGGGACCTGAATTGATCCTATAGTAGCTACAGTTGGAGTTTCTTAAATGCTTGCAGCAAAATAACTCTTTTGGTTGGTTAACATTGACTAATTTGTTTCTTTGCTTATTTTTATTACTCGTACAATTATTACTAACCCTCGCGTCCGCACACGAATATGACCATTTTCACTATTTCTTGTTCTAAAACATTTTCTTCGTAACAAAGGAAAGATACTGATGAAATAAAAAGTAAAGATTCTCTTCTTGGCGTCATTAAAGATATCATTAGACAATAATAATAGTACTTTGAGCACTACGATATGCTTCGAAATGATTTATAGTTGTTTCACCAGAGGGTTTATATGGTGCATGTACAAACTAAGTGGCTTTATTTATAATAAACAAACCAAACGTATCGTTTGCGATTATCTATTCTCTTTAGGTCTGTTAAGTGTGTGCGTTACCATTTATCCGTACATTACTCATCAATTTGTTTAAAAGTTTTGGGATTGATGACACCGAGTTTCTTCGATACGATGTAACTAGGGATTTGTCGTGTATGAAGTTAGTTGTCATCACGGTCTGGAATGCGCTGTAGAAACACTGGAAAAAGAAGTCTGGAACACCTGTTTCATTTTGTTTTCTGACATCCCTGAATTTAACGCTCAATAGATACGATAGTTAACATTATGCTGGACAATTTTGTTAACCAGTTGGATTCGAAAATTAGCATCGATTTCAGAAATCAGAAACTCTTTCAAAACGCAAAACCCCTAGTTCCTATGTTCAATCATACATGGATTCGAGGATATACTTTGCTATTTAGTTAGAAACTAGGCTGAATAACCTTTTAATACATAAAAATGAAGAACTTCAAATATTTTCTGTTACAAATCTCTGAAAAAATTGAACTTTCTTAACTATAAAGCTGTAGAAAGAGAATACATATATTTGTATTTAGTTCTCTTTTCTCTATAAAATATACACACTTTGCTTTATAAATCAATTGTAAATCACACAGTACATAATTGATACTTTATTTCAGTGGTAAATTTTATACTCATGTAAACCATCGATTCCAATTATTTTGATGGAGTTTTCTTCTCTGAGCTGGATAGTTTGGTCGTGGAGCTTTCATCGTCCTAC